AGTCTCCAGTATCAATATGATCAATACAAGTCATGATTATACAAAGTGTCCAAGTCATGTCAAAGCTAGTCTCCAGTATCAATATGATCAATACAAGTCATGATTATACAAAGTGTCCAAGTCATGTCAAAGCTTATCATGAGTTGTGCAGTTCTTTTATGTTTTATTTCATTTTCCCAACCATATCTATACTGTTTCATATCTTTTTGAAGTTTTGTTCATTATACCCATCTTTTCCATAAAGCTGCAAAAAGCCAAAACGAATAGCCTCGCCCTCCAGAAAGGACACGAAAAGAAAAGAAAAAGACCCAAAATTGAAGTTGAATTTGCCCGTATATAAAGCGACAACTAAAGAAAAAAGGAATTAAATGAAAAGACATTCATTGGAATTATTTCAAAACATAATACGCAAAACTTAGGATTCCCCTGTCCCCGTTTTTTATTTTGATCAAACAAGACAGCCCAGGTTCCATTAGTAATTATTCAAGGCCTTTTAGCCTAAGTATAGACAAACATGTACTATCTTTGTGGCCTGTTTACCGTAGGTGCCATCCGTAATTTCTATTTGCTGTGGGGAAGAGACGGTCAGAAGTCAAACAGCGAGTGGTTGGAGTATTTGGTGAGGACTGTTTGTGCATTCTCTGCGATGATTCTCCGAGGAGACAACCCCTAAAGTGGTCCAAACAGCGGGTATAAACCACAGGCATGAAATCAAGGGTCACGATGGTGAGGAGCCACGCTTGATGGTAAGATCCCCTTGAATTATTTGTGTTAGAGAAGCATTCGACATGACCGCAAAACAATACCGGCCGAGGGAGTGATGGATGCGATGAAATTTCATTCCTCTCGGCGTCCGAACTTTTCTTGTGGGTAAATTTCATTGCTTATTTCATTGCATGTTACCCGTTTACTTGGTGGGATCAATATGTTAGGTTCCAATCGTGATTACGTGTAAGTGTTACATGGAAATGTAACAGGAAATTAAATTACGTAAGGGTAAAATTTCCTGGAAATTATTTCCACAATTATCGCCATCCAACAGTCTGTTGCTAATAAGCACACGGAGTCATTTGGCCTACAGTTATTTGGAAGCACGCATTTATTCTTGAATTTCCCACTAGAGTTCTCCCGTGAAAACAAAATGAGCTTTCAAGTGTAGCTGTGCATAGTGACGTAACTACGAGGAGGCTCATGGGGTAGACTCCCTCCTCCTATCCTATGATGTAAAGTTTTCTTTGTTAGTGATCCTTCAGAAATTTCACCGCAGTTCCACCACTGTTTGGGGTGGCAAATTGGACTGCCTGTTGTGCTATTTTTATGACGTTTCCTGTGGTGCCGTTCATAGTTTCATACACTCATCAAACTAGAAAACGATCAGGACCAACAGTGTTATTTGCATAAAGCTGTAGACAAAAATTTAAAAGCGATATCTAGCTCTGAAATGCTTTGGCCTCTGGACCTCCAGCCATTTTTTCCGTTCATAAATCAACCGTTCACATCGCTGAACTGGGTGATTGGAGATTACAACCATGCACTTTGATCGTTTTACTATAAGATTAATGGTTAGTCGACGCGATAACAGTTACTGATGAGTTGACTTAAGAGCCATTTCAGACGATCAGAGGGCCCCCGGTGGTATGGGGAAATTTGTTCATTTCCCAAATTGTTCTCGACCAAATTCAGTGGACCAGTTATGCTCCCAATATATCCAAAGGCAAAATCGTCATTTCAAAACATCAGAAAAATAATCCCCACTTGCCAAACTGATTCAAAAGAACGATCTCGATAATATTGTTCATTTCCAGTTATTTTGGAGTGCAGTGGTACTTTTGTGCCATACTAATTTATGCCTTCAAAGAGGACGAACTATAAAATGACAAATGGTCTTTATTCAGATGTACGTATAGCGTATTTATCCCTTTATTTTCAGTCAAATGTTCCTCAATTTTGGGCCTCGGGTGGGTGTACTGTAGAATATAATTTCATTTTTCTTGAGATGTCATTCAAAATTCAGGTACAAACACAAATACACTGTTGCGAATAAAATCTATTTTCCAAGCCCCCGATTAAAGTCCTAAGATTCAATTGTAGATTTCTTGGAACTTAAACAAAACTGTAACAATAAACGAGATACAGTTAAATTGAAATTTTGCTTGGCTAGTTTTTGAGCATTGCAAACCATGGTTTGGTGGGGTTATAATTTTCAAACTTTTATTAAGCAGCGCCTGCCACGCACAAGCATCACTTTACTTGAAAAAAAAACGAAATAAGAGGTTAGGCAATGTGTATAACATGTTTCTTAAAGAATGACGTGATGAACTTTTACTTAGTGGCCGTTTTGAATTCGGCTATAAATATCGAAGGGGAAGGGCCAAGGGTTTGAGCCCGGTTCCCAAGTATTAGAGTATTTGAATTGCTTGAAGAAGATAATTATGACTTTAACTTCCGTTCTGTTTTTTTTTAAGACAAATCCAACCCAGCACTCTGAAGAACCAGCACGTTTGGTGAGAGTTGGCGAGTTGCATGCGACAAGTTGAAAATGGAGTCCATAAAGGAGTATACGGATGGTCTTCGTGACTCCCTTCAAGTCAGGATGGAGCACGCCCTCGATGACAGGAAGGTTGAAATTGCTGACATTCTCTCCAGCAGGTATGGGCAGGTGGTGACTGAACTAACTGAGCCCCAGACTTGGTATTACTCCGAGCCACACCAGCTTTTAGTCGAAATGCTGCGGCAAAACATCGGGCGACCAAGTTGGGGGAGGCCGTCGGCCCGTCCAGAACATGGCGTGCTTCCTTCCTTCGGTCACCAAGATGGCAGTGCCATCCACGAGGGCATCCTTCCATTGAACCAACGGAGAAAAACAGCATCCCACCAGGGGCAGGGGGATCTGGGAAAGGGGGAGAGAGGGGTAAGGTTTGCAGAACTTGATAAAATCAACGCTGGAACAGCAGCAAGCCTCGTCAAAAACTTAGAACCCGCAAGCGCGGCATTTGATAGAGATAAGCATCTCGTGAAAAAGGTGGACGGGACTGGAGGACAAATTCCATCACAGGTTCAAATAAGACAGCACGAGAAAGAGGCAATTCGAATATACAGACGATTCAAGGCAAGCCAGGACCATTCTAAGGGGCTACCCAGTACCGAAAGTAGATCCTTTGCTCTGCGCAGGTGTGCCTCACACCTCCAGCCTGCAACTAGAAATTATCCGGCGCCTTTCGGATCCTTCAGATCTGACCTGAGGTCTAACTGTTCGAATCACAACGAAGTCGGTTCGTTGTCCGTGGTTCCAAGAAATTTAAAGGAAACAAGATTATCTGCTCAACACGGCTCACCTGAGAAAGATTCAAGCCCTAGGCGAGTAAGGAAGCAGAAGCTCCCCCTCCGAGAGGCCGAGAGACGACCCTTCGGCCACAGGAATGATAAAGTTGTCTTCTTTGACAATTGGATAAGGCCTCTTCAAGTTGAAAGAACTCAGCATCTCACGCAGATGGGAGACGAAAAGGAACAGGAGAGCATAAAAAGTCCCAGGATAAAACCTCAGAGTGTCTCCAAATCCACCCAGACGGAAAATGAAGCTAATAATTTGTGCAAGGTGGTCCTTTTCACCGTTCCTCAATTCGCAGAGCTGCGGCCAAGTGCAGGTTTGCATGGGGGAGATAGCCCCTATATTTCGGCGCTGAAATCTAAATCGACGGCAAATGCAGACTTGGCACACTGCCCGGCCCAGAGGCAAGGCATGGGCACAAATTTCCAGTTGCTCCTCGACAACGCCGACAAGAGATTGACGGGAATCGAACAAGAGAAGGGAAATTCCCACCTCAGGCAAACAGAAAGCCGTAGAAAGGTATCCAGCAAAGCTGGAATTGGAATGGATAACGGGCGGGGCACTGAGGCCAGCCACATTTTGGAAGAGGCAATGGAAACACTCTGCAACAGCAATAGCTCTGGGTCTCTTAGGACTGTCGACATTGGAACCAATACTTCTCCCATCGACCGGACCGTACGCATGCAACCGGCAAAGAATCACTCTGGAAAGAAATCTAGGAAGAAACTGTTGCAAGAATGGCGTCCTATATCAGATTCAGCCAGAATAATACCAGGCGCAAATAGCGCCCTCTGCGCCACTGAGTCGGTCGCGACTCGGTCGATTGCGGGAACGCACACAACCTTTACGGACCGAATGTCCCCGAACTCGCCGTTCCGATATTCGCCCGAATCAGCAGTGGACTGGCTCGCCGAGGACTCGTCTACCGACTCGAACGGGGTCGGTAATTTGGTTATTAAGGCGACTAGTGGCACAACAAAATCACTGCCACTTACGCCAAGAGCGAAGAAGGCTTTATTGCCAAACACATTTTAGGTACAAAATTATGCCATTGAGTTCGAACTTACTAGAACGTCTGTGAACTACAAAACAAGCTTGACCTACAGAGGAAGTCCACAATTTTGGCCATTTTTTTGTAAAAAGGGGGCTAGTATGAACCAGTCCCAACTAAGCATTGTCTGGGTTGGATGGGGTTCTATTATAACTCTAAAGAACGTAGGCCTATATTACTTTTTCTTATAACTAAGGATTTGCACATAGCATATATAGTTTGTCATTTGAAGTCCTTCATTAGATCCCCTATACATTTTTTTTGGGGGGGGTCCTTTATAGTGCCCTTTTATCGTTCCTTTTTGGCAATTGATACTGATATCTTTTGTTCACACTGAAGTGTGGAATATCAAGCAACCGAGGGCGATCAGTCAGCATTCAAGCCGGTAAGTTCTTCGAGAGTGCTTGACAAAATACTTGCAATATTTTACGACTGATTCTTAAGATGCGCTGAAAATTCCAAGGGATATAAACTAAGTTTCCAATTTACAAACTGAAAGGATAAGGATGACAAATGTCTGGATTTCACCAACAGCGACGGAACGCCTGTGGATTTCACCCGACATATACGGAGCTTTGTGCCAGGGCCAAAACAGCCCCAATGAATTTTTTTTCAATATCGCACGTGTAGGCCTACACCCAGAACCAAAACGTTTTCACGGGTAAATCGTAAAACTCGACATTGTAAGGTAGTTGTCTGCCAATAATTTGTTTCAGTACACAATCCGTACGTTTGTACTGCCAGGTTATGTACAGTACATAGTACGTAACCTGGCAGTACAAACGTATAGACAGCCTCAAACTATATGCAAAAAGTGTAGCACAAAAGGTAAGCACAGTAGAGACTTGGATATTACAATGTGCAAGTATATATGGAGCAGAACCACCTGACTCATCAATTATTTGAGAAATTAAGTGTGATTCAACACACAGTAAATCAATTTAACAAGTGCATGTATGTTTATTTAACCACCTGTTCGTCATAGAAAGAATTTACGACAATGAGTTTTTGAAATACCCAGGTTTATATTTCTTGATAAGGTTTATAATATATTTCTGTGTGTAATTCTGTGTCAAAAGAATTTAACTTTGTCAAATGCCAGTCACACGAAGTAAATGATAGAAAAGGAATTTAAAATTACAAATAACTAATCCAGGAGCACAGCACCTTAGATCTCCGGGTAAAGTTATCATTCAACACAAAAAATGATAATGTGGATGTTCCTTTAGAGAAGTATTCCCTCTTTACGCTTCAAAAATACAGTCTTATTTTAAAAGGAAAATGTATCAAGTTATTCAAATACCATTTCAATAAAACTGTTCAAGATATGACCCAATTCCTGACCAGATGAACTCAAGATTTTGTTTCTAGAACACTTTTTGCCAAAGGGTGTCCCTCTCTTTAGAGGATCATCATGACCAAATTCCATTCGGGAACTTAATTTTATTTCTTTGTTATACTTCCTGAATACTTCAGCTACACCGTGGTCATGGGTGTAAATCCCAAGGGGTATGGGGGTATATATCCCCCCAACACACTTTTTTGGGGCGGGGGGGTGGGCTATTGAATCATACCCCACTTTTTTGTGGTGAGCCAAAAAATTAAGTTGGTTGGGTTGTGAAGAATTTTTCAGACTTCAAACAACGCAAACCCATTCAATATCACTCGACAAGGGGAAAATAAGTTTAAAAAGCCATAAATATGCCCGTTGAATACATATTACAGATGTAAAATAAAATCATGATTATCAACCTCTATATACAGTCATATAGTGTCCCCCCTTTTCAAATTTTAATGTCACCCCGTGCCTTTCCCCATCCCACATCCCCCCCCCCAGTTTCCAGCACAAATTTATACCGCTGACCATGGTCAATACATAAATCTTGCTGGCAGCCAACAACAAAATGAACAATTATCCACACTGGCCATCATACCATTAATAGATTCCAACTCCAAACACAAATCCCCAGGCTTTCCCTTTTCTTCAACTTCTGATTCTAATCCCATTACATTCTATGTTCCATTAAGCCTTACGGCTGCTCTTTCACAGCGGAGCAGTTTCAGGGAGACTATTCTCATGCCCCCCCCCGGAAAATTTCAACCAGTTGATGGACCTGATGTGCAATAAATGCGCTGTGATTTCAAGGGATCAAAGCAAGTCTAAACACGTTCGATAAAATTATCTCTGGAAACGTCGTCAGAACAAGCAGCGAGGCAAAGATTTGATTCTTACCCTATCACCAGCTTTCTGACCCTAGAATAACTGGGGTACGTTTCGAACGTCTCGAATATTGTTGAAGCCAATCATTTACAATGGCAACCGTAGAGCATTTTTTCCACCACTTTTCCTGCTCGCAAGAGAACACGTTATACACAAACGGAAATTCTACAGCCTGAAAAAGTAAGACTTTTGCCTGAATCTATTCTGAGCAAGGTATCATGATACAGATCTTCATGCTATAATTATCGCATCCCAGTTGTCATGTGCATATGCTAAGATCACGGCACGTCATGATGCATCATTTCATACACCCCTTGCCACTAAAAGGTAAGGTAGATTATAAAGCTGTGGAGGGGTGATTCACAGAATCATGTCTACTTCAGTCATCAACTCAGGTTCCTCGTAAGTCCCATTTTCTAGCATTTTAATCATGCGGCCAGCAGTAAACAACCCTGGACTTTGTCACATCTTGAGCAGCCTCAAAGCACTGCAGTTACCTGCAACCTCTCGGTCAGGCTTTTCCTCCTAGGACATCACTCCTGCCCTTGTCTTCCTCTGGGAATACAGAAGTCCCTGCAGCACCTGCACAATCCAAGTATAAGTTGTCCCCGCGCATGATGTACGGTGCCAATAAAAGCATGAAAATCCAATCATTTTGAAAAAAAAAAGCACCCAACTTGAAACAGGTGAAGCCAACAGAGGAACTTTGCTAGGACAACACCCAAACAACCCAAATCAAAGTGGGGCTGTTACAAGTCATTGATTGAAAACCTGACATAAATTGAGAACATCAATAACAAATCTTTTACTGAAATCACCAAAGAACTTTGCACCCACGCTCTGATGAGTCCCCCCCCCAAAAAAAATCCTTTTTCTGAAAGAAAGAGAGGTGACTGGAATAAAAATCAAAATTTTCAGCTTTGGGGAATGTTTCTTATGGACAAACACAATAAACAGAATTATAAAAAAAGATCAAAGTTTACAGGTGAGTTCTCTCTCTTAAAAAAAAGTTAAACAGCTCCTACAATGAATTCTGGATCAAAACTCTATTATGCCACAAAGAAGCACTCATTCAACCCTCTGCTTGAATTGGTCTTCCAAAACTGTGCTACTAGATGTGATGAGTGAAGATTATTCAATAGTAATACTTTGAGAATTAGGGGAAGGAGGTGCCTACTATTAAAACTGTCAGCCTACCTAACCCTGTCAATGTACCACAGATTTTTTTCCCCTTGGGGGGGGATGTCTCACTGGAAAGCTTGTAATGATCTCCTTCCTCTTCTCCTTACATTTTCATCATCCAGTTGGGCAAATCAACTTTACACTTGCGACTGGCAGCCAAAATCTCCTGAGGCTGATCAATAAACCTTAACTTAATTTCAGAGAAACGCTTGGCAGGAAATGATTTAGTTAACTTCTGGGAATTTTAGTTTGTCAACCTGTGAGGAATACGACACGCCATTAGTCAAAACGACTGCTGTGTCTCCAAACTGTGTTTTTGATTGACTTGGTCCAAGTTTTGTCACGCTGGGTACCAAAGCAATTGGATCACTGTAAATTTTTGTCTCCTGACAAAACAAGTGTCATGTAAATGACTTACCACTCCTGCTGCATGGGGCAGTTTCCTTTGACTAACATCCTCGCAACGTCTCCCGCACACCAACACAAGTGCCACCTGCTGACGTGCTTTACTCAAAATGAAATCGGTGGTTTCTGGCTTCTCTCCTCAGTGAAATCCAGTTTTATGCCGAGAAGCGAAACAACCTAAAATGAAGAGAAAATGTAGATAACTACTGTCATAAATAATATATTCAAAAGGAGATTCATTCCTTTATTCAGATCTTGTTCTTTAAAATGCCCATTATAGTATGTGTGAGCACCAACTCCTAGTACTCAGTGTATCTTTGTCAAAGACCACTAACAGGGCTCCTCCAATTCAAATTTAAATCCTCAATCCTCCAAAATCCTAAAATTTGGGGGGGGGTTGAAAAATTGGATTCTCCCTCAATCCTTCAAAATCCTCTGAACTTTCTTGGAAATGTCATTTGGAGGTGTGCCTACTGCCTCAATCCTTCAAAATCCTCCAGCAATTCCTGTCATTATGTTGAGGCAGTGCGAAGGGCATTCTTGAGCAGTGGGGTTGATTCAAGAGAAATATCAGGCTGAATTTATGCATAATAAGCAAAACAATACAAGGTCTAACCCACAACCTTCATGCATGGCATCCTTTACAATCAGCCATGCACTTTTGCCGTTCACCCTCAATCCTCCAAAATCCCTCCAAAACCGCCGGAAGGATTTTTTGGAGGATTGAGGAGGGTGAGGGTTAATAGGGAAAAACTGGATACAAAGAGAGCTTTCATCAGCTTAAAATCAGATTTCCATCAAGTTTTCGTGAGCTGTGGCTTGAGTAATATCAAATTTTTTTTTACATAAAGGGGTGCAAAGTTAGTCTAAAGAAATTAGATGGGTTGTTACGAAGATTGCCAGTTTGACTTTCACATCTTTCGCACATTTTGACCATGCATGTACATCTTTCGCACATTTTGACCATGCATGTATACAACTTTACAATCGCGCAAATATGGAATATTTAGATGGTCTGAAATTATTGCCATTCGACCTTTCACCCTCTAAAACTGACTCAAACTTGAATTCTACCCCACACCTATGACACAGACTTGCATTTAGTGCTATTCACCCAAAACACAAACTGGCAGACTTGGATCAATATCAGCACCTCCAGTTTTATTTCAGGATGAAAAATTCAGCAAGGCGCAATCATGACGCTGGGAAATATTTATCATATGAATGACAACCAGACCTGCTTGAACTTGTCTCTGATCTGCCTGAAATCGTCCCAGTAACTTTCACTGGTTACATCCTCAACTTTGAAGGAAGCCAGCATGGCATGCAGTGTTTCAAGCGCTTTCACTGTTCTGTGAAGATGCAATTACATGTATATAAGATCAGACAGTACTAGTTGGATATTTAATTCATATACTTTCAAATAAATCATTACACTAATTATCGTAACATACATATAAGCAATAAAACAGCAGCAATATTCAACAAATGTTGGCAGTAAATGCTTTTGTTTGTTTTTGGCAAGGATTTCCATACAAGCTTCGTGCTAGTTGCTGTGTTTGTCAGTTTGTCATCCACTTGGTGTTATTTAGAAGGAAGTATGATACATGTACATGTAATGTTGCCGACAAGCACTCACAAATCCACGACATACATGTACATGTCATCCAATCTCAAGCTACAAATTGATCAAATGCGCTGTGGAAAAGTCATGCCTTTCTCACTGTTTACCCCCATTAAGGGCACTCCTTTCTAATTCTGTGGTCCTCAGTTCTGACCGACCTCAATCTTGGAGCAAAATTTTGTTCATTTATACCAAACGTGGTCAAAGATGGGCTCATTATTTCTTACTTATTTAAGCAAAATGGAAATTGTGTTCATTTGCTGTGAAATGATTCTTCCTGAGTTTTTTTTAAACGACCGACCCTTGTCCGAAGCAAAAAGACATGACAGCCAGGGAATTAAAAATGGATGCTCTAACAGGCACACGTACTGATGATGTCAGCCTTTAGTTTACACATGCACATTCCTACGTAGCCAGAGGTGGCCCACAGTCCACTGAGCACCTTAGGAAAGTAAACACATGCTACAGAGGTCTATCCATCCTGAGTTGAAGTGCACCCTCACCGGTGAAAGAAAGACAGGCTGGTGAGAAGTTTTCAACCGGGTTTCTGCACACGTTCAGCGCACATGCAAAGACCCAGCTTTATAGCATAAATTTGTTGTGCGTATTCAGCGTGCCCCCTGCCAAACGCGCATAAACTTGCACGCGTACCTACCACAGGACTGACATTTTCATTCAAAAACACACACTCTTTTGTTCTAGCTCGGAGTGGCTTACGAATTGACTTATGATTTGCCTTGTGGCTGAGCTGTAATTTGCCTTTTTGAAACATGGCAGACACAGGCGGAGGGCGCTATTTGAAGTGGGTTAATCTGGAACAAACACAAAGGAATGTTATCCCAACCCAATGGCGCCCTTCTGTTGTGTCCGCCGAATCTCAAAAAGGCTGATGGATTCCACTGACTCTTGGACAGCATGCAGCATTGCCAAAGCAATGACTCACTTTGCTCTTGCCAATCCGGCGTCTTCCTTGACAAGCCATAGCCACATGGCCACAAAGCCCAGATAGAAGCCATACTCGGACCCTATCTCCCTGCCCTTGATTTGCCCCATCTTGAAGCCCTCTTGCTCTCCGGCCCGCTTGCCGGCGGCAAAGCCTTCTCGGTATCCCTCCTCTTGGAATCTGTAAAACAAACAACAATTCAGCAATGAACTGGACAGTTGCTACGGACAGGTGTAAGACACAGAAGACCATAACTGTGAAAAGGTTACATCTGAGGAGCCAACTCGTACGCCCTAAGGATCCTATCCCAACCGGAAGACGCGGAGGAGTAGTCTACAGGATACCATGTGGTGACTGCGACAAGGTGTACTTCGGCGAAACTGGCAGACCCGTCGGCGAAAGAATCAAGGAGCACCAGCGCGACGTGAGACTCTCCCGTGTGGAATCGTCAGCAGTAGCCCAACACACCTGGGAAGCTGGTCACCACCCTAACTGGGACGACGTGCAGTGTGTGGACCAGGACCAGCATTGGTACACCAGACGCATCAAGGAGGCCATCCACATCCGCCTCAGCCGACACAGCATCAACAGGGACAGCGGCATCGACATCCCCGGGTTCTAGCTCCCCGCCATCCTTCAACACAATCACCGCAGCACCGGAGCACACTGGAGCCACACCGAGGATAGGCCCCTTCACACCCATGGAGTGGAGCATGCGACGCCCGCTGAGGTCACCCATACTGCGTCCGCAGTACACGGCTGGGGGGGAAGCCGAGGACGTGGTCCAGCGGTATATAGCGGACTCTGCAGCATCCAGACTTCAGTTGCCTGATGAAGGCTAGCAGCACCAGCAGCCGAAACGTCACTACCAGCAACACGACATCGCGAGTCATCGATCATCTTTTCTCTGTATGGGTTACATCTGTGAGGTTTGTATTCAGTAGTTATGATCATTTATACACTCACTGTGGTACATGCTTTCATGCGTGTTGGCCTGTACACTGAGCACATCAATGGGAGAAAAATTCTGGCATATGCAGTATGAAAATGGGCATTTCAAGAAAGTAGAGATTTTGCAAAAATGACGGTCCAAGTTTTTCAAAATTGTACAAATTCCACAGCCTTTTTAAGTGATTCTTACAGAACGGTGGCAACATGTCACAAGAGGGGAAATTCCCTTCCCTTCCCCCCATGGGCTACACTCACCACTGCCTTGTTAGGCCTAAGCTAGTGGCACCAGGAATGTTTTCCTCCCAACTATGCCAACCACTCAAGGATTTTTCCTGAAGCTGACATGCCTTGATCTTTCTCATCTAAGTCAAAAACCGTCACAACAAATGCTGTTGTGTTCTTAAAAATCTTCATGTGAAAAGAAATCAGAAAGAGTTCCCCATAGAGATTCCAGTAATTATTCCCTAGTGACAGTGATTAGCTGTCAGAAAGCAAAAAACATGTCCAGAAAAGTTCAATTTGGGAGGAAAAAACCAAGTCAGTTACTTGGGAAACAGACTTTTTCAGACCAGTCTCATAGGTCTTGTGCACAGGGTGTGAATTGGCATCCGTATATGGAACTCTTTCCAAGAAATCAGTACAAATGAAACCGTGACAATGCATCCTAAAGTAAAATGCAATTACGGGTGTGGGGCCTGGGAAAGATCGCAGGAGCGACCCACCACCCATTCAGTGGCATTATGAAGAGTCAGTCGCGCGCTCGCGTCAGCCTGGTCAGTAGGCTCGGTTTATAATCACTTCGCCCCATTTCCATGTCGTCCTTAACCACTTCGCCCCATCTCCGCATCGCCCCACACCCACATCACCCCATCCCCACCTGCCTATTTCGCCCCATTTCCACTTTGCCCCGTCCATGCTCGAGTGTGTTTACAAGCCTCTTCAAAAAATGGTTGAGAGAGGAGTTCCACAAACAACATCATGATGGAGTTGTACAGAAAATTGTACTTAATGTCGACTGCATTGTTCACGGTGAATTAATACATACATGCATGGTTGAACTAGCATTGGGATTTTTCTCACCCTCTTCAAGTTTATTTCAAAGTTCATTCTGATAATTATCAATGTATCAAGACAGCTGTGCCCCAGCAATTGGATAAAACTCGAAGCACCGCGGCAGGAACATTTGTGGAAACATGCTCGCTTCAAGTATGAGCAAAACAACCTAAAATTAAGCTCATGAACACAGAAAATACACAAATAGACAAAGAAACTAAATTCTGTGAATCAACTTTAAGAAATCTTGAAACACCTTTTTTTTTTGATGCGTGAATAGGCTGGTTGCCACACTCCATCACGCATTCTCTTGCATGGGAGCAGCGCGATGGGGACCAGTGCTTTATGCACGTTTTTACCACAGCGACAGCAAAACACAAAGAGAACTCATGATATTAGCAGAAGTTGCTTTTCAAATGTAAATGTAACTGGGAAAACATGTAAACACCAGCGTTAAAATGAGAAAATGTTGATCTGAGGTGTTTGTGAAGACAGAAAAGACAACCGTATTTATTTATCTTTCTTATATTTATTAAATTTGTTTTTTCGCCGAAAAATTAGGGTCAGTCAGGAAATCGAAAGCACTGTTTTGGCCTTTGCAAGTTAGATTCCCCCACCGTTATTTGGTTACTCAAACATCGAAGTTTTCATCTGTTCCATCTAGGCCTGTGCCTCTTTTACTAAAGAAAAGAATGAACGATAATCGGTTAACCCCAGAGGGTGGGTGGGAGCAGAGTAGACATTGGACCCCGAAGTTCTGGAGGTAATGGTGGTGTTAGAAATGGGGCGAGGTAGAAATACGGTGAAGTGGGGATGGGGGTGAAGTAAGAATGGGGCGAAGGGGCGATGGGCAGATGGGAAAAAGTGGCGATGGGGCGAAGTGGCAATGTGGTTAGGGGTAAAGTGGAAATGGGGCGAAGTGACCGACACATGTAAGCTCAGGCTAAATTTATTCTCTTTCCCTACTCCTTTACCTTTCTTCTGCCATAACGACATCGTCAAATATATCTTCGTTTGGAGTAAATTCAGCCATTTCACCTTTATTAGAACTTAAGAAGCAATCAAAATACAAGTCGCCGTCAAGTAACGTCAGGCTACTTGGCATTATGAACATGCATGATGTTATCGTGGTTATTATGGAGTGATGGGTGACGGGACACTAGACCAATAAAAATGAATAGGACAGCGCCCTCTTTTGACGAAACTCATCCCGGTTTTTGCCTGTCACCAAGCGCCTGGTGGCCTTACACTGTGAGCGGCTGCTTGGTGCACAACTTGTGACCACAAGGTTATCACTTCCTGTTATCGAAGCGTTATTTAAATTGTTTGGTTCACCAGTGGTAATGCTTTGGGTTGGGTAAAATAAAACGTCGGCTATATGTGAAAATATGGCCTTGGTACACAGTGTGGTTATTTATTTTCTCAATATTACTGATTACGTGTTTTGGGGCTAAAGGCCCTATATTTCAAATCATTGGTTATCTTGATCAATTTTGTATGAATGAATTCAGTGTTGTGAGAATATTTTCAGCAATGAGGGAGAAAAAGAAAAAAATATTGAATTGAAAACAGCGGCTTGATTAACTCATTGAGCAAGCTCGCACACCTGACATGGATTTACCCACAATGCTCTGCGCGTCAATTGGGCGCTGTGTGACGAGCGAAAACCTGATTTTGTCTCGTTATTCGTCAATGATAATTGATATTTTTCCTGAAGACATCAGAACGATGTAGGCCTTTGTGCTCACCCCATGCCCACCCATTTACAGTGGTAGAGTGTTAAAGGCCCTTTTGTGCAGGCCGTCCATCCCTATGGGCATCGAAGAGAACTCAACAGCACGTAGGCCTACAGTCATAATGCAAAAGTTAGGGATCACACATACGAAATGCATTTACCTGAAGCAAAACCAAACATAAACCAATTCATTATAGCAACTAATGCTTACTTTCACTGTTTAACCTTGATATCTTGGTTGAATAGCTATTTGACTACTGTTTGATTTGAAATGTTCAAGTTAACAGTCTCAATCGTTTCTGAAGACTTAAGACGCCTTTCCATATGCGCGTCAACACTTGCGCAAAATGTTGCATATCCGTCAAAATCGCTGACGGGGCAATCGTGACGGCCGAATGCAGGCACACGAGAGTTATGTTGATGGAGTTGATTATATATGTATTTGTGTCCGTGAAAGTGAAACGCATGGACGCATCGTGTACGCAAAGCACCCCAGAAACGTACATATGGAAAGGTACCTTTGAACTGTTTTTTTTTACCCATGCTGCATACAGAAAAATGTCATACAAGACCTACCTTTGTAGAAAAGTCAAAACCAACAAATATTTATTTGTATAAAATTAACCCTAAATCCAATTATCCGCGTATATAATTTCGGTTAAAATTTCCGGCATGATGCATCTGCTTCCAAACATGTTTCGCAAATCTATCAGGTGTTCCGTCTGAATTTTCCAAAGACAAAACGCTGGTACATCACGCTCTCAAACCCGGGCCTTCCAATCTTCACGGTTCACCAGATCACCACATCGGGTGCGGGTTTTTGTCACCGCTGCGGTAAACCACAGTTTTACCGGCGCACGTCCGTGCCCGATTCTCCAACATACTGTCGGTCAATGACTAGCAGTCACAAGAAAATGATCATGATCAGGTACATAACACAAAATATGGTAACCACTAATTTAGTTTCACGTTTCATTATATCTACGGGCTGCTGCCGACGAGCTTCGTCAGACAAGTTGCAGAGTCGAAGAAAGACTGGGCTGTCACACAGACACCATGGGTTTCAATTACAGGGCAAATTATCATTATCGATTTTCCCAAGAAACCGTTTGTCCCTTTCCTTGAGGGGTGCCTCTTTGAATTCTTCTTTGAAAACTTTTTTTGTTACCTGTCAACGTATTTGCTTCCAGTGTGCTGCCCAATGTCCATGATTTTCCAATCATGCATAAATTATGAACAATCATAACTCCCGAAGCTTCGCGTTTTGATCCTCGATACAATATCCAACCAGGTACATGGTCTATATCCTTTATTTAAAGTCATCAGTCGTAAAAGATAAGTTTTACGGAAAGCAAAATCGACTCGTGGGCATAGAAATTGGTCTATTTAAAGTGTTTGTAAGTTCTGTTTTGAACTATGTCGCCTGGCAACTGGGCAGCATCATTTACTTAAAAATTGACACCGTCAGTTTCAATTTAGTTTTGAGTTTTGGAGGGGTAAGTCGACGGCAGGTGCATTCTGGAACTGGAATAAGCTACCGTGACTCTTTCCACTTGCGGCTAAATTAATTCCGCACGCATTTTTATGATTCAAGACCGCCGGGCCCTTTTAAAAACCTTCGAAATCACGAGAGTCATGTTGGCTGAGAAGCATCAGCCAACTTTGTCACAGGTAGAATGATTTCCGACTCAATTTCCACAAATCCACTTCACTTCCATTTCCAGTGAAACCGGGGGAAAATTGAGGCTATTTTGTCTGCCTGAGAGGCAACCTGCCCCTCCCAAGAGAGAGTTTTCTATGCTGTCGCAGGGGCACAGGAGCAATACAGTGCTGGCGTTTTGCCCGACCACAGGTAAAATCCACTTGGTCAGTCAACTTCTTTGTCGGTTGAGTTCGACGTCCCCGTGCATTTATCAGGGATGTGAGTGGCCACTTAAAATTAAAGCTGAAAACAGCTGACAAAAAGTTGAAATGTAACAAAGGTCCCATACTTTTGTTCAGATCAGGTGTACAAAAAAGCTGGTAATCAGAGCCAACATCTAAACAAAAAAGCTGAAATCAGCTTAAAAGCTGAATTCTCACACCCTGATTTATTTCACCTCCGACAAACAGAATGATGCTATTGTAAAGGGGTCAGGCTAAGAAGTGAGTCGAAAAGGTTCCCAAATTTATTCCCCTTGCCCTAAAATGCACAGGATTGATGTCTGGGGTATCAAGCCTACACTGCATAGCATGCACTGCAAGCCGGGGCACGCCTGCACCATGGAGTGTGTTTTATTCGTCCATGGTGTAAACTATACCATCCAACATTTCCTGGGTAGTAATCCTTATGATCACCTGTGATCTTTAGTGGAACAAAAACAGTTAATGTACGTTTGAGGTCAGGAACGAAATGACCAAATTGCCCTCACTTCAGCAACTGAAACATTCCAGAGCTATTAAAAAGTTGTTGATCCTGGATCATGACTGCCTTCAAAATTGGTGTCGATTCCAAGCCGGTCGATCATCGACCCGGACCCCGAAACGTCATCAGCTGATTGACTAGCTTCACAGACGCCTCGCGGCAGCGTAGACAAAATCCCCAGACAGGTCATAAGGTCAGAAAGGACGGTGTCTGGCATCCTAACTGCAACGGCTGATTCGACATTGGAAGGGTACACATTGTTACAGCGATTGTGGAGAGTCGGCTGACGATTATATTACTTGACCCGTACTACGCCGGCACGGTATGCATGCAGCGTGAAACTAGCCAGGCACGGCGGAATGCCAGCCAGTGTGTGAGCTGCCGAAAATAGCCTTGCTGAATTGTCCTTAAATCCAAAACTTCTGCGAGATTTTGGCACATCAACCTTTGCAGCCGAGGCGCAATAGTTGACTGAGAAGATGGCGAGGTTTATTCTCACGCTTGTAAGACAGTAAGTGAAGAAGCGTTTATGTGTGTAGTTTAGCAAAGTTCCGTCTCCTGCACTGTACTGTGTTTGACCCCCTCAAGCTCACCCACCCTTTGTCACTTTTATCATGTGGGCCTTCAGTGCATGCACTCTTGCTCGCACCGCAAGCACGAACCAGCTACTAATGAGCTAGGCCTAACCCTGTTTTAAGAAAGCACTAAATTGTGTGTAGATTGTTATGATTGTGTACATGTAACCATAACTGTTCAAATGCTGGCCCAGTTTAAGCTGTGGTGTACACGTAGGCCTGTCACAAGAAAAGTGATGGGCCTACTATAGGGCCAGACTAATCTAACCTATGCCTGCATATGCTAATATTAATGCCTAAACGTGAAAACCACTTCTGGCATATTTGATTTAAAAGAAATAGCCTGGACCTGGGTGACCTTTGCCTTTTTACACCGAACACACACACAAAACCTTTCATGATCACAGTCTGACATCCAGTTGCTTTTCTGTGAAGATGTAACATTAAGTCTCGGAAAGAGTTCCATGTACAAACACTTGATATCCCTGTGAACGAGCCTGTGAAAAAACCAAGTGTTTCCTTCGTAAATGTTTTGGAATTTTCCTCAGCTAAATTTCTTTTTTTAGAACATTGTCACTCTCTGATGACTGTTATAACATTTTAAGGGAAAATTAGTGTTGTCCGTATATGGAGCTCTTTCCTTAGTCTGGGCTGGTAGGATGAAGTGTAGATTCAAAAGAAAGTCTGTTACAGAAACCCTGAGATCGACATGATCGAACATTCTTTACCAAGTTTAGGTACGTGTGGACATCATCATTTAGGTACATGTACGTGTGGACATCGTTTCTCTCTGATGGCTGTTATAACATTTTACATTGTGTGAACATGATGAAAGTGGTCACTATCAGTTGTCCATATTTTGCATATTTCATGCATTCCGGTTCTTTGCAGTCAGTCAACGTTTTGCAGCTACTATGGCTACAATCCTGAACAGTAACTATGAATTTACCCAAAAAAATGGCCGTGAAAATGTGCAGAACTTTAGAATTCAGCAAATGATAGCATGTGAAAGCATGTCCTTAAAAGTCAAATTATGGAAGCATTCATTTTTTCATACCAGTCTCCTTGGGTTTGTGCCAGGGTTGGCTGAATTAAATCACCCTTTTTAAATCACCAATTTAAAGTGTGATTTAAATCAAATGACTGAAAAAAAAATCACAGATTTTTCAGTCTTTTAATTGTTTTTGATGAAGGCCAAAATGTTGCAATTTTTTTCCATTTTAATTATTTCTTTTTTTTAGTTTGGCACATTTTACGTGTAAATGGCAAATTCATGTATTCCTTTGTAAACTCTGCAGTACCTTCATCAGTGATAAGTATCATGGGTACATGTGCGTTGCATAAAATTTGGGTTGATAGGAATTTTTTTTGCTCAATTCAAGCCACTTGAATTTTATAATCCTATTGCGAGTTAAATTTGAATAAAATCTGGTACACTGAGTTCTTTAAATTCATGCGAACATAACAATTGGAATTCCCCAGACTAAAGACACTGTTGCTGTACCTCGTGATTCGGGGCAAGCTTTGCTTAGTTACATAAGAGATGCTTTGCCTCAGTACAGTGTTCTCAATGGATAAGAAGGGCACAAAGGAGCTCCTACCCTGATCCTTTTCATGTACATTTGTGATAAGGAAAAGGAAAGCAAAATCACAAATCCTTGAATTCAAAGCAAAAGCTACAGTTATCAAAAAAAAAAGGAAAATGTATCAAAAAAAGCTGTTTCAGAAACTACCCTCTGCAAACACAGTTAGCAGTATGTCAATTGGCTGCTCACTACCGGCACCGGTTTTAATTTCCTTGAAGCATCCCTCCCACCTCCCCCTGCCTGTCTTTCAAGACAGGGGAAACTGATGACACATATGCACTTTGGTCGGTCAAGGTGAAGGTTTAAATACAGCGGCTGATAAACAAGCAAGAGGGAAAGGAAACCATTGAAGGCCATTGCAGTCCCCTCCGGGACTGGCCAAGATGCTAATCAAGCAGCCAGAGAGTCTGGGCCGGAGGGAGAAGAAGGAGGAGACGCGGGGAGGTCGAAACAAATCAAATCAAGCCTGATGTCTGCCGGTTGGGATGGGAAATAACGTGCAATGTTGATTTGGCTGTTCTTTTTCTGCTGTCTTAATGATAACCATGTACATGTACCGCGAATTCCTCAGTAGCTATGCACAGGGTTTGATGTGTTGGTGATGTGGAATCAGAACAGGGCAGGATCCAGAGATCCACAACACGTTTTCTCTGTAGAGCTCGAAAAATGTGCCACTAGTTTCCTGCACAGTGCTGGATGTTAAAAGAGCTAGGATGGCTCTTAACATGCAGACAGCATTACTAAAGGACTTTGGTGTACATGGAGTTTGCAAAGCACAAGCACCAGAATTTTTGAAAATTGTAGGGCTGAGTCAATTGGAATCTCTGAATATCAGAAGATTTGGCCTTACATTTGATCAAATATTCTAACCTTTGGTCATACCGGACAGCGGCATTTTGATGAACAAAGTCCGAACTGAAACAGTATCGTTAACACGCCGCTGCACATTATAATCATTACAATAGTTGCCCACTGTTGTGACTGTTGCCACCATTGATTCTTATATATGTACCTGTTGGCCCGTTGAGAATTTAAAAAAAAATTTAAAGCAAGTTTGATCAGTTGCAGTGATTAGGATTTTGAAGCACATGTTCTTGCTGTATGCATTTTGGGGGGGGGCACCACTGGGTGGGAGTGTGAAAACTGTTTTCCCCTTTGGACCTTCACTCATGTTATTTCCAGTTGAAATATCGTCATGAACTTAGGATTGTCACAATGTATTTCAACAAAGTTTGCATCTGTACATGTGCATAAACATTACAAAGAATGCTGGTATCCACTTGCGTGACTTTTGTTTCCTAAAAATCTCAATTTCCATTCTGTATAGGATGGATTCTATATTTTGCTATTGGGCATATCAGCTACTTTTTGAGTCTTGCCTTGAAATAAGTTTGTCCAATGCAATTTGTCTTTAAAAAAATGAATTTTCTCCCTTCCTTTTTAATGCATTGATGCATTGTGCCTCAGAAGATTCAAATTTGAGAAAAAAATTCAAATATTCAATGATTGGTTGAATATGCTTATTCAGATATTCGACATAGCCCTAGAAAGTACCTCACCTTAAGCAAAGTCGGATCTAGAGAAGCAGAATTGCTGGTTCAGATTTTTGTTTCAACAACTCCTAGGGGCCCATGTCAAAAAAATATCATCCCTTGAAAAGATCACCCTGGAAGGTTACCACATAAAACTTGAACATTTTACAAGGCATTGGAAACAAAGAGCCACGAAAAAGAAATGTCATTTATAAAATGTTAAAGGGGATAGGCCATGTAGGGTTAAATTGACTTTATACATGTATGATAGTTTTTAATTGTCTAGTAAACAATAAGTTTAATCTTTACCAGTCAGTGTTTGTCTGAGGATGGATTTGCGCCAGAGACCACTGAGCTTGCCATCCTTCCATCCTTGAAAATACTTGTTCCTGGTACCCGCCGCTACATCTGACTCGAACCAGCCAGCCGCCATCGGCAAGCTCGGTGGTCGAGTGGTCAAGCCGTCTGCACTAGTAAGCAGGAGGTCGTGGGTTCGAGTCCCACCCAAGTACGCTTGTGGGTTTTCTCACAAGCCTTCGGGGGCAAACACTGAGTATACAGTGTTGTAATACGTGTCAGGCAGGGCAAAAATCCAAAATTAGTCAGCGTTTTGTTGTTGATCGCTGCCGTGACCGTGGCCAACAGCCTCAAGTTGCAAAATCTCTTCCTGACTATATTCTGGTTTGAATTGGATAAGGCAAAATTTCTTGTGCCTCGTCAGCTCCTTCAGTGTCACCTTCTTCGGCAAATGAATAAGACAAACTTGACAACTGACCCCTGATCGGAAAAGGCATCAATGCTGGAATTATCCTCGCTTGACTCTGACACGATGTCACATGCTAATGCTACAGCATTACGAACATCGTACAGTATGTTGACACGTTGTTGCATGACAGTAAGCAGTCACAAGACAAAGGACTCCGTCCTATGACGTCATGATTCTTGGGAATTTCTTCAGACAAATTTCAGTACCCGACGGCTGTTGTTTAGCTTTTGCTCCTAGAAGGGAGTGAAATAAGGTCGTGAAAACTATAATTTTTAACATATTTCTGTGCATTTTGAAATTATGCAGATGTCTTTTCTCATTATATGTATGTTTGTTTTATGTGTTGATGCACGGCCCACCCCCTTTAACTTCAGTACATGTACATGTAGTTTATTGCTTGAAATTTCTAGCACAGTAGTTCCACAGGTTCACTGTTTTGACATTGGCAAAAAAAGTTGTAGCTGAACCACACAAATTCAGAAAACTGGGATAGAAACCCCGCAAGTTTTCTCATGAGACTGCAAGTGTTATGACCATGACTAGTTTTCAGGCTTTCCAGACTACCGACACCCTCTTCATCAGTCATCAAGCCCTGCTTTTTCATTTCAAAACCACTGTTGAGTGACCAACGCACTTGCATTATAGGACTGGACAATAATTTGTCAACGGTTTCATGGTGATTAACTTGAAAATGATGATTGATTGATTGATGTTGAGAAAAAAGTGTGGAGCCTGTGATGAGGCACACCTGGCTTTTGTGCAAATGGCATCCCCCCATGGGGCTGCTGACATGTGCAGTGCACTATATGTCAACCATCCAATCAGACAATATGGGCAGGTGGTGTGGTAAACTTCATACTGGCCCACAAACCTGCTGCACAGTGTGTCCATCCATGGAAAAAAAATAGCCCCTAAGTAGTAATAATAAACTGGATAGGCAACATTGCATGCAAAGTGTACATATGTACATGTACGGTGTACGGTACATATACATACTTAATGCATGTTTAAATTTGTAGGTTTGATGAAATCGCCCCAGAATTTTACATAAAGTGGTGCCAACTGAAGAGCTGACTTAAGATCCCAAAACCTTTGATGCAAATGTTAGATGTAAACTTCAAGATTTGAATGTACAAGTGTTGCACTCTCCCCACACACAGTCTTTCAAGGATGTTGTGACATGCTGACTTTCAGCAGGAATATTAAATTCAAGTGTTGCATCACTCTGGCTGTGAAACCTCCCCTGTCAAGCAAGAGACTCCGAAGGTCATCACATCAGTGGATGTGAACGCACTCTGTGTGGCCAGACTGTACTGAGACATGTTGAAGGTCAGGCGGACATTGGTCATCCCCTGGGACCAAGTGTGAAATCCCCCCCCCAAAGTTTGTTTTCATTTTTCTGGGAAAGAAAAGGTCACATTTGCGTCTTATGAAAGGAAGCAGTGTAGTGGATGCACGACAATCTGGAGAAAAACACAGCCCAGGATTGATCAAGGCTTTTAAACTGCCAGGTCTTTCATTCTCACGCCCAAACTTACATGTACATGTATGTATATTCTTCCCCAAGAGAGCCACCATGCCACCAAACTTATATGTACATGTATGTACATTCTTCCCCAAGAGAGCCACCATGCCATTTTGGAAAAAAAGTGTTTTCCAAACCTTCAAACCTGACTGTCTCAGCCTTTTCTGGTCAATCCCTTTTTTTCAAATTCAAATAAAGTGTTTTGTGGAATATTTCACACCTTGAAAACCAAGGAAGGCCAAATGATGCAATGTTTGATCACTTAGTACACACTTGGCTTGAGAGTCCATGAATCGTGAAGACCCAAGAACAGATAAGTCCATTTTGCACCTTCAGAGAAAATCAGCTTACTTGTACATGTACTAGTAGTGCATTGTAAAAGGCACAGAGCCTGTTGCTTTGTCAACCAGTGGGGGCTGTTCGTTCCATAAAATCTTGAGATTTCTGTAAACTTTGGATTCAAAAGAGAATTATTTAATTTGTGCAGTTAAAAAAATGGATGGGTTTCTGCAGTTTTGTAAATTGGTCTTTAACGGCTTTTGCCTTAAGACTCTTTCTAGTTGTACCTGTACCATGTAGATCCAGATTATACTCAATCCTGACAGCACTGTAAGTAATCTTTCATTGGCTGTGCACACTTCCTTTTTTGTTGTTTTAGCCAACTCATCCTCATTGCCACCCGGTGGAGAAACCCTGGTACTAACCACCAACAGAGTTCTGAATTTGCTCTGTTGGTAGAGCCATAGAGCTACAAACCCAGCAGAGGTACCTGCGTGGTGTACAGGAGGATGTGGGTTAGAATTCCATTGAAGTCAATCTCTTTGTTCACCTTAATATAGTTGCCCTGAATGGTTTAGTTGATCTTTAAATATTTTTCTCCAGGAACAAGGTTCAGCACCTTACTAAACATTTTTGTTTCAGAATTTGATTTTAAAAAACCAAAACTTGCATGTAACTGCATATAATTACCTTTTAAAATGTCGTCTGACCTTTATTGAAGTTTGTTGGCATTTCTATGTAAAAGTATATGTATATACCGGTACATTAAAAGAGCAAAACTTTCTAATTGATAAAGAAAACTACAAACCTAGCACACACTTTTGTTCTTTCTTAGGACATTTTGGCATATTTTGAGTTTTCAAAGTTTCAGACTTCATGAGTATAGTTAAGACAGGTTGTCAACTGAAGTTTGTCTTTTTAGAAAGCAAATTAATACTAGCACACACGTAGATTATGGAGTCCCGTCCTTTTAATCCTGGTGACTTGCAGTTTTGTCCACCGCCGTTAATTGCTGACAAATTGCCAGTAGTGACTTGGCGGGATTACCAAGTCACTCCGTAATTATTGGTGGTGGGGACAGAAATTATGAATGAAATAAGGCTGCCAGACACTCAAGGGCACAGCTACAGCTCCTGCCTGGCCCGGACCCCAGGGAGCAGCAGACAAGGCCTTTGGTGGGTGAAGGATCTTCTTACTTAATAAGCTGCTGCTCCTGGTAATTTTACAATAAATAGCCAGATTCATTCAAACAGGCGGGGTTTGCCTGAGACCTTTTCACATTACAGCCAGTTTGAACTCAACACTGGGTGAACCCATGACCACCCTGGGTTTCAAATTTGGTTTTTCGATCCTGCGTTCAACGCCGGTGTTGTTTCACACTGTGAATTGAACTTATCGGGGTGAGTTCAACCCGGTTGAACATTCTCGACCCTGGTCTGGAGCAGGGTTGAGTTCAACCCGAGTTGAAATCAGTCTTGGGATTGATGTAGGGTCGTCGCAGGGGTGAAAATTTTCAAGTGTGAATCATCACTAGTGTTTAACCCTGTGTAAACCCCCAAAAGAAAAAGAAAAAGCCTATACTGTGTTTACTCACAAAAGAGTTCAGATATAGCAACCAAGTGTTACTTATGATTTGTTTCAAAATCAACATTATCTATTGGTACACATACTTTAAGACAGGATTGAGAGAAGATTGGTGTTTCTGGACGTACATTTGCACATTTTACACTGTACATGTATGTGTTAATACTTTGCAAGTGCAGCTCTTAGTAAAAAAAAGTTCTAATAGTTCAATTGCCTTTGGGTTTTAATCTTCACTAGTTCATTTCCAAGATGATTTTTACATTCTGTTTCACGTTCACAGTGGCCAGACAATATATAACCAAGATGGCATCATCCAAGGTAATATTTCAAAGAGGATTGTTACCAAGATAGACCTGCTTTTCCCCCCACATGTGCAAGGGACGTTCAGAAAATATCTATTCATAAATTTTGAGTTCAGTGACCAAGACAAGTGTCTTGCTTATTACTCCTTGAAAGACTTGCAGGAATAGTCAAAGTGTACCGCATCAGGGGACATCAGCTATGGTACATCTTTTCCCCCCAAGCAATTTTAATGCTGTTAACAACCAAAGAATGAATACGTGCACATTTACCATCATGAGTGGCATGTACCATTTCTTGAAGTCATATGGGCAGGTTGAAATGTTGATAAGCACAATTTAAACAAACCTCAAACACAGTTTTTGTGCTGCAATTATAGTTAAGTAGACGAATGTTAAATTCTTTCACTAGCTAGCATGTACAGTAGTAATGAGTTTTCCTCAGTTGTTTTTTTCTTGCTTCCCTGTGCCCAATCTTCTGACCCCTCTTTCATTAAGGTCAAATGGATGTACCATTGTCTGAAGAGGGGAGAAAGCAGATATGGCTACTGGCCAAGGCACTGGAGCAGCACCGCTTCACCAAGATCTTTGCTAGTGACTTGCAGAGGGCCAGAGAGGTAGGCTGCCACTGGACTTCTTGTGGACAAATTTGGGGCTGTGCACTTTATAATTGTGGCTAATCAGGGTACTCATGGTGAAGTGTTTAAGGTAGAAGGGGCACTTAATTAGGGTAAATGGTCCATGCTTGAAACAAGGGCTCTTGTCACAAAATATTTGGGGATGAAAAGGGCACGTATGACTAAATATTGGGGGTAAATCCACCTAACCACACACAAGTGTGTATTTGCCTGCAACTGGGGACCCCCTATTGTTCCTCTTTTGTTTGTACTCTAACTTTTTTAGAAGACCACCCATATGTTTTGTACACAGTTGTCAATCGGGTACCCTCTGTCAATCGGGGACCTTATTGTCGTCTATTGTTAAGGGTCCCCAATTGAATGCAGAAACAAACTCTCCTACATACACCTCTTACCTTCATTCACCCCTTTTCCGCCCTCCCCTGCCAGGCTATGGCGCTGGGTAACTACATGTACATGTTTAGATGTTCTGCTCACTTTTCAAGTTTGTGATTTCCGACAGTGGAACGAGTGTCCCTGTTGTATGTGTATCATTAAATCACAAATGAGACATGGTCTGTGACGTTGTTTCAGACTGCTCAGGCCATTGTGGATCACGGAGCAGTGGACAGGCCACAGGTCATCACAGATCAGAGGTTACGAGAAAGGGTGAGATGAACAGTTCCACTTGTACCCCAGTAAGCTACAGTGGTTTACACGTTGCCTGTACAAAGCGTGTCATTGGCAGCTTTGTAGTAGACATATTTGTAATTATTTGAGAGTCCTTGGAACTCTTTGAGTGGAAATTCATCGATGGCTGGCCAAGCACATAGTTTGATTTCTAACAGTGAGACTGGGTGAGTTATTGCCATGATGACGTCAATGAGCAAACTCAGACTCGCTGTTGTATCTGCAGCTTTTGTCTGACCAGTAGGGGAGACACCGTTAGCATGGTCTGATGTGCGTGAAATTCAGCAAGTATGGTTTGATACATTCAACATACTGTGAATACTTTCCACTCCGACTGTTAGGGCTATGGACGTCTGGAAGGGATACCAGTGAAGGAATACCAGGGACACGCCAAGAAGGGCAAACAACACAAACAGTTTACCCCCGAGGGCGGGGAGACAATCGATCAAGTAAGCAGAATTCCCGTCACTGACCTTATTCAGTGGAGGACTCAATTCAGTTTCATTGGATCTCTGTTTGAGCCATGCAACGCATGTCGGTTGATTGCAAGAGCTTGCCATGGGATCAGGTTATTACGACTCAGATTTGATACACAAATCCCCCAATGCCAATTTGCATTACTAATGTACCAAAGCATGACGTCATTTTGACTTGGAAGTCAAAAGTGTAGTGTAAATGAATGAAATATGCACGGGTGCTGGTTCCTTCACCGGTTCTCGTGCTAATGTCTTTTACACACGTAATCGTAGTCGTGCAGGTGTCATGTTCACTTTGGTACATACACTGTTCAGATCTTTTTGGAGGGAGGGGATAGGGGTTTTACATTGACTGCCATTGACTCCATGATACATGAGCTGACACCTCTAATCAGCTTACAAAACTTGTCTAGCTTAGACCAACTTTGGTTGTTGAAAATGGAAAATCAGTGCATCAAATTGCTCATCTGCAGTGAATGGTTCCCGGTCAGTGTTTGCTTAACACTTTATTTTTTTAAGCAACACTTTCTGCATAGCAGTGTAATGACCATTACTCCATATTAGCATGCGTTTAATGCTGTTGTTTACTCTGTCCAATTATCACAAATAAGTTTTGCATAAAGCCGCCATTCGTAAGCTTAAAATCAGACTGAAGTGTTATGTCCTCTCGTATTTGGCCAAGACACAGACACAAAATGGATCAACTAGATGGAACAAAGTGGCTTTTGTATTACAGATGCATAAGTTTTGGTCACTTTCAAAATCATGTTGGACTTCAAGGCAGTGTACAAGATTTGCATGTATGGCAATTTGTCAACATTTGCCAATTTTGTGTTTTGTGATTTAGTTTGTGTATCATTTCAAGGACCCGTTTCATTTTTTGAGTTCACTGCCTTGAGGAAAAGTGAGAAAAGCGCTGTTCATTTTTAACACTTGAAGCCCATCTTGTGTAATTTGTCTCACAAAACTCCATGGGCCACTGGACGCTCCTAAGTACCACGATAGTGCACAGGCGAAGTTGATCTGGAGACCAACTATAGCCTTCAAAAATACATTTTTTCCATGACATTGAGCAGCGATAGTGGTTTGCAAACTTTACCTTCAAGTTTGTGTTTCCTCTTCAGCAATGCAATGCTGAAAATTTTGTCGAATAAACACCATGTCATCGTGCAGTGAGTTGACTGCAGTGACCACAGTCATTGTGCAACCAAAACGTACGATGTACATGTACTGATACATGTGCACATGCACAATTGACTGATTTGTTCTATCTTCTCATGTAGCCTTCCACGTCGGACAAATAGCCTCTACACACCGTCAGTTCCCATCATAAACACTATAAATCAACAAATGTGGCAACTATCCTTGCATTTGGGGCATAAGAGTTACTGTGATTAGAAAAATGGAAAGCTAAATGTCTCGAAAATGGAAGCTTTGTTCGAGAAAATCGGAGAGCTCTGAAGGAGTGGCCGTGATCTATTTGGACCATACCATTATCTTAAGTGGTTACCTCACAATGATATTTTCATGTGAACTTCTGCAGTTTCATAAAGGAACTCAAATTTCAAACCAGTCCAAATTCTCTTTTAGGCTTTTAGTTATTGATATATATTTATTTTATTAGTTAACAATGTAGTTTAGGCATACTGATGGTGTGTTGGCGGTTTGTACATGACCCGTTAATATAGAATCTTCCAACACGAATTGAACAAATTGTATTTGCCAAAGATTGTCCATCCGGACGATCTTTGGAAAAAAGAATGAAATTTCTCTTTTCTCGAAAGCATTCCTGGTGGTAAGATTTCACAGATTGTCTGACAGTACTAAGTACGTACTGTACACTAAGAAATTTGAAGATAATTTGACAGTCCTGTTTTTGAGATCTTGCAAATCCAATACACGGTCATTAAGCTGAGTTGTAAGAACTCAGACTTAAAACTCATTCTGCAAATTGGCGACTCAACATCCCCAAGTAGACTCTCATTTATATGTTCAGATAGGAGAAGAAGACAGGATGAGAGTAGGTGTGTTCTTTTTAGTTCAGACTTCATGTAACACTGCTTTAAATAAACCATCTCTCACATTCTGATAGCAAATCAATCATTGCTTCCTAGGTCAGGAAACGGGCCGTTTCATTTTTCAAAGAGCTTTGTGATGACTTCCTAGAAGGTGGTGCACTTCAGAGCGCCCCCAAGAAATGTGCAGTGGCCAAAAAGCTGCTTAATTCTGAGGAAGGTTCAAACTCACCAGAAGATGCCCAGACAGCTCATCCAAAGTCTTCCCTGGCCTCATCGGAGGTGAGTGCTTCCAATGAGGTCGACATCCCACCAGTGGAGTTCACAGTTGGTCCCTTGTCGCAGCCAGGCAGCGATGAGGAGGAGGCGGGGGACCGTGGCGACAGGCAACCAACCTCGGAGGCCCTTACAGCCGAAGTCCAAGCTTGCCACCCTCCCAGGCCCCAGCAGAGCGGAGCACGGAGTCCGCACTACCACAGACGCTCGCCCCTCAGCAATCAATATGCTCCCAATGTGACACTGTCGCAGTCCTCTATGCGCAGGGGTGGGGCTGGGCCGGAGGAGGGCACGATCGAGGTCTCCAGCTCGGAAGGCAGCCTGGGCAGTCAGGACACGGAGGACGATCTGGACGGGGACGCCGAGCTGGACGGCATGGTGGCTGACGTGCTGGTGGTGGCCCACGGCGTCCTGCTCCGAGAGATGATGCGGTACTTCATCGAGGACCTCAATTGCTTTGTGCCAAAGGGCCAGAACCTGGCCAACCGGGTCACCTTCAACACAGGCATGTCCAGGTTTCAGGTGGATCTCCTGGACGGCTTCCCCAAGATGGAGTGCCTGACTATCCACCAGATAGATCACCTGCATCAACCGTAGCAGCCCCAATCGCCAACATTGGATCATGTTTTGTTTCATTGTTTTGTTTGAATTCAGGGAAGTGGTTATCATGTACAGTACCAGACTACTGTAATGAGGACCACTCTATGAAACATTGCCATTTTGTAAGTTTAATTCTAAAGAACTTCCGTTGAACATTTTAGAACAGTATTAACAGTGTTACATTATTGAAATGTAATTAGAATGCAATATTGAAATAGTAGTGGTTCACTACCATGGACTTTGCGCACAACTCCTTCCCCCAGCAATGAGACTGATTGTTGAGGGCTAGGGTGTATGTAAGATCATATTGAAATGGGAAGATTTGGGACTGTTAGGGCGATGTGCATTTCTCTTGCGCTGAACTGTCAAGCGCAGTCCTCATTTATGCAGCAGTTTTATGCATTAACTTACACAGATGGGTTGAGTTCAGTGTTTCTCTGTGACCTTTGCGTACATGTAGGCTTGAGTTCTGAACATGTGAAAAATATTCATAGCTGTACGGCCATCACATGTTTGTCCAAGATAAAGCCGTTTTCAGCGACTGGCTACGGCTACTTCACATAAATGTGTGTGTTTGGTTCAGCCCCTCTTAGTTGAACCAGACATTTTCTCGGCGTCCTCACTGGACACTGATTGACTAACTGACTAACTAACTAAATGACGTTCATGCATGAAACCCATTAGAGCCTTCACAGGTGCTGCAGCTTATTTCGGTGAGCTTGAAAATTGGGTGTTGAGGATTCAGAACCTGTCTGACAGGGTCCCTGCAGTGAATGTTGTTTCAGACACATTTTTGTGCATCTCTATACCATTCTTCAGTGTATGAAAACTGGTCGACATCTGTTTGGGGTTAAGCGCATTTTGTGGACAAGTGAGGGCGCTGTTGCTGTGATATAAATCAGGGAAGACGCTGCTCAATTAAATGTTGTTATGTTCAAATTTTGAATTCAAAAATTTTAAAGAAAAGTTACTTGTTGGCTAATATTGCCACGTACTTAACCAACAATACATCGCCAAAGAAACTTAAAGTTTTGTCAGCATAAGATAAAAAACTCCAGCAGTTTCTCTGCACAAATCAGTGCAACATTGAGGTTGGGGTGATGTCACATTATTGCTCATTAATATTGAAATTTGCATAAGCATAAAAACTTAAAAGGATCTCAAATACCTGTTGAAATACCAAAACATAAATTGTTAATCAGGTGAGTTGCAACACAGAGGTGCATTTTCTCGAGGGATGTAGTCAAATAGTTACATTGCATGGTCTCTTGAAGACATTGATCAGGCTGCACACTTTTAAATTTTTTAAATTCATCACATGGAATTTTACTGCAAAGCAAACAAATATGTTCACAATAATTATGTTTCTAGTTTGGTTAATTGTTTTAGTTAAATTGCCAATATGAGTCAAATTTAAATACACTGTTTAAATACAGTGATTTTTTCTTAACCATTTTGTACAGAATGTTTTGCTGTTAAGGAATCTAATAATTGGGTTTCTGGTGAAATTCCCCAAGAGCTGCGCAACAAGCTGGAATACACTGTCTCTTGTTATGGTGGTGTCGTATTGTACTGTGTCAAGATGAAGAAACAACACACAAGTTGACAGGAAATGATATCTTTTTTACACAAGAAGCATGCGAGGATTTAAGCAGGACAATTAAGGCAGAGTTGTGAACATGTTTATAATCAGGAATATGCACGGTTATGTACGGCATTGTTGTACAAGTATGCGTATGAGTGCCAGAACGACAGCATGACGTAGCACAGATGTTTCCTGCACTAGACAATGACACGTTTCTGTGGTTTGGCTCAGAGGTACTCGTTGGGGACCAAAGTGCCTCTCCAGTTACTTCAGATTGCCTCCTGTAGTCCTGTGCTTCCCAAACCCCCCCCCCCCGAAACTCATACTGTTCGTTTCACAGAGCTGAGCCAAATTACCATACATCTGAAGACCCACTGAGAAGTATCCATTGCAGTGTTGTGGATGGCAACCTGTCCAAGATGCATGTTTTACAGCTTCGTAGCTGTCAGTCATTTTCAAGCCATGTACCTCTCTATGAATGTGTAGGATAGACTGTATCTGACAGACTTCTGAACTTTGATAGTTGGTGAGGCGCTGAAATGAACGAGGGGACTGTTGGGGGGGGAGGCTCACCGACTCACCTATTTTTTGCATTTTTATTGCTGAGAGTGTCATCCACATGCCTGGTTTCCAAATGCACTGCATGTACACATGCTGTGCTTTGGTAGGGGCTCTCACATTAAAGACCAATTACACTATTCGTAATGTCACAGTTTTGGTTAAAGCATGCCTTTTTTAATATTGAAGTGCTTATGTTTATTAAGAAGTGGTGCATGTAAGAATAATGTTCAAATTATTCTTTGAATAATTTTTGGTAAGTTTGTAGTAGTGTTCAACGTGATCATGATATTCTGTTTGATGCACCTGTACATGTATTTAAACCAGAGATGTCATCAAGCCCCCTCTCTAGTCCATCAGGTTTACTAATTAAGTAAAACGTGTTGTAGGAGAAAGTTAGCCTGAAAACAAGCCAGCGTAGTTTTGTAGTTCTGTGGAATTTGGTAACAAGTTAGATTCTGAGAATTTTGGGGACGAAAGATATACATGTACATGTACACGTACTGAAAATGTCAAAGTACATTTGCCAAACAACTTGGACTCAACTTCATCCGTGTCAAGCCTTGTGTCCAAATACCCATAGTCCTCAGAGTTCATAGCAGTGTTCTCGGTGTTGGCAGTTGTTGGCCAGTGTTGAAGTTGAGACCTGGTAAGACCATTGCAAAACCCCACAAGACTATCACAAGACCAATGCAAGACCCTCCAGTCTGAATTCAAGTCACCGGTTATGAACTGCAACCAAAGCACTCCTTTGTAATTGTTCACCCTGTTACTTATGACTGGTCTTGTGTCTGGTCTTGTGATGCCCTCGACTACAACACTGCTGTTGGGTTCCTAGTGCACCACCCCTGGCACCCAGTAGCTTGACCACAGCTCTGGTTATATCATTGTAACTGTCAAACACCAGTGTTGTAATTGGTCTATGCCTGTATAGTGAATGACAGAAAAACTACCTCATTTTGTTTGTTTCTTGCATTGTACGATAATGAAAGATATGGTGACCTCAGCATTTGTTTTGGGGTAATTCCAGAAATTAGGGGTCCAAAAGTGTGACATTTTCGTGTCTCTGTTATATCTGACCTTTGTTATTTGACATGGAAATATCACCGGAATTGATTTCAAACTATTACTATTTGTTTGGCAGGTAATTTGCATTAATTCGTCACTCTTGGAAATTACAAAATGTGTTCTGAACTTACAAAAATTATATGTCAGATGTGACAGGGACACGAATAAAAATGGCCCCCTAAGTTCTGGAATTACCCTTTGGTGACACGATAATTCTCAGTGCCTTAACTTGTGAATAAACTTTATATATGTATAAATACGGACATCTTCAGAAAAAAGGAATTAGCATGACAAAAAGTATATCGTATAGACAAAACAGTAAAGTGAAAGGAACTTACTGAGGTGGTCATATTGAATGGTGCCAAATGCCTGTCGGACCCAAACCGACCTGTATGTGACGGATGTGCCTGGTTTGTATGTACCATTTTCAGAGTTTTACCTCATTTTTCTAAATACCTCCTTAACCATGTTTGATAATTTTTATGTAAATGTGCACAGCATCAGTTATTGTAATCAGACTCATTTCATTTCACTTCAACTTTATAAGCGGTATTCTCGGATCATTTATAACTGGGCAACATTCAAAAGTTGAAAGAGGCTGTGGATGGGGGAGCACATGTGACCCGAAGGACGTCAGTGATTGGATAGCTGGATTTCAAACAATTTATTCTGAAGGATTTTTTCTTTGTTGTAGTCTTGATTTATGTCCCTTCTGTGGGCGTGGTTAGAGCTTGCCATCTGAGAGGTGACTGGATGCTGATTGCATGCTGCACAGGTGGCCGGAGGGGCTTTGGGTCAGATTCAGCCATTCTAAAGCAACTCCCGAAATTCAAATAACATTGCAGCTCAATGTGTTCGATTTAGATTTCTGTCTGGGTGTACTGATATGGTGCTCAAGGGATTTCTTTCTATAATTGTGCTTCATAAATGGAGGAAACTATCAACTTGCATAGGAAATCCACTTCAGTCATTTTGCAACCTCGTATTGATTCCTTGAACTCCTCTCGGAGTCAACCTTGCATTTGATTGTGTCATTCACGAACGGTTCCACAACTCTCAACTTTAGAAAGAGAATGCCACTATTTATTTTCGCTCGCAAAGTGCATGGGATGGGAAAAGTTTCAAGCCATACCCTCACCCTGAAGTGGCTCAAAAATCTGCAGTCCAGAGCCCTACTGGTCGTTACAATCATATAAATTTCCCGCTTTCGTTTTATTTCATTGCTTATACCTAGTTTTTCTGATAATCAGTAATGCCGTGCGTTTCACAGCATTCGCTGAAATATGCGGGGTTTCAACTTTAAGTGCATGTGAGAAAGATGTATGTGAGATCTGTTGGATAATAATGCATGACCTTGAATGTAAAGGGGAACGTAAAAGAATAAAATTACCAATCGTCAGAGGTTGGGTGTTAAATGGAATGCTTCGTTTCTTTCACAAAACTTTCTGGCTTTTAGCCCACCGTTTTGGCTTAATTTGTTCCAGAGTTAGTATTAGCCTAGACCATTTGCAAGCCCTGCCCCCCCAGCTCACATCTTCATAGACGCCATGAACTTCAGGTAGCAGAACAAAGATTTGATCTACACTTGCATGGTGTCTGACCCCTGGCATCTAAGGCCATCCTTCTATTTTGATGTACTCACTCGGTCGGTACTCCATAGAGTACCGAAGTGTGCCGTGACTGTGAACCAGAAAGTGCAGTGCCGCTAATGGAGTACGCGCGCGTGTTGGTTCACGCGGTGGTTCTCGCGCTAATGCCTTTTACACACTAATTGTGCGCGTGACGTATTCACTTTGGTACTCTATTGCATATTCCCGTCTTCTTTCCTACACTACTCAAAAAAGTTAAGGACCACTTTTTTTAACTTGTAATTTCAGGATGTGCAATGATGCCAGGGGCATTATGCAACAACTGAAACCAACCACATGTAAAAATGATTACAGTGTGTTTATAGTCAAGCAGGACAGTTGTATTGGGGAATTTTCGGCAGTAAAATATCTCGTATATAATAAAAGCATACACAAAATAAAAAGTGGCCCTTAACTTTTTAAGTAGTATATTTTCTTTACAACCTTAGTGGACACCGTAAATGTGGGCAAGCAGACGCGTACATGTACTCTGCAAATCAAAGTTATCCCTGTACTTGTTTATTACTTTATGTTGTCTGTGTTGAATATAAGCGGGTAAATAGAATAGTAACAATTTCGCAATCGTCAAAGCTGCAAAATTCTGTCTCAGTGTATCCGAACTTGAGCTGTTTTGGCCCACAGCAAGCATTACACGACTGCCTCGGTACGGCTCATCCGCGCATGTTCAGCCGCCAATGCCGACCATTTTACACAGCAAATATGTCAGCATGGAGTATGTCTTAGTTCCTCCCCGCGGAGGGTTGAGTTTCCACGGCCCTCTTTCTTCGACTGTCCATCGGTGTTGGCGGTGGTTGCCTTGGAAACAGCCCCGAACTTGGGCGTGTCTCCTCAATATGCTGTGCCATGCCAACTTGCTCTACCACTGTGGCTGATCCACCGGCTCCACCCGTTTCTTCCTTCACTGTCTCCAGTAGCTCACTCGCTCTGCTCTTCTCACCCGTCACTGCCTTCCTGTGTCTCTTCCATTCCTTTCCGGTAAACCTTGGTCTTTCCCTTGGAGAGTTCTTAGGAGTGTTGGAGAACGTGGCAGGAAATTGGAAGGTAGAAGTGGTTGGCAGGGTCTCCTTGGTCCTGCTCGATGTAGTTGCTTTACCGTGCCTGTTCGCTTCTCGCGTCTCGTGCGCAATCCGCCAGTCGTACATGGGATACATCTGGCGCAGTTCGTCTCTGTCTCTGTTTAAGAAATTCCCTGGCAGCGTCCCCTCTGCGTCAATTCGGAGGGTTGAAATCTTCAAGCCGCCCCTTGAGTAGAGGTCTTCCAGATCCACCTGAAAGTTAGGCCTAATCTTGCAGCGTCTACTGTGGTTAAATTTGTTCTCGGTGTTCAATCTCGGCAGTCTCACGGTCCCTGCCTCCTCGGAGGTTTGGCTTTTCAAACCGTGGCTTGCGATCTCCTCGTTCTCATTGTCGCAGTGGGTGATGAGAGAGGCGGGTTGAGAGACTTCTCCATAATCCATGCGCTCGAGACTGCCCTTTCCAATGTCTGGCATAGACGTGGACTTGTTTTTAAGCTGGCAAGGCATACAGACGTGGGAAGATTCACTAAGCTCAAGGAACTTTCGCGTTGGAGCTTGATGAGGCACCGTCTTGGGTGGATCGAACTCTATTGAGGCATGCCCTGCCTGCGATTCCATCGCACAGTCGTTTGGGAAGTGATTCAATGCTATAGCCTCGGGGGCGCTCTTTGACAAAACACCAGTTTGGTGTACCCCCAAGCGCGAGCTGTTCGGCAGAGTGAGAGACTCTGGAATGACATGAGAAGCTACTATGGGTCTGAGGCGCCCCAACCTCTTCTTGTCCAGTTTGGGCAGCTCCTGAACAATCTGCCAATTTTGACCGCTCTTGTCGACAACGTCGAGTCTTTCGGGCAGGTTCACTTCCTTCCGTGGTCTCTTCCTGGGGAAAGCTTCGCCCAGCTTCTTCGCCTTCCTGGATAGATTCTCCCTGCGCCGCTGCGGCTCAAAGTCGTACCCCGGTTTGTTTATCGTTTGCATCTGAGAATAGCCCCTCGAGCCTCCCACGCGCGTCGATTTGTGCCCAGACACGGCACCGTTCCAGGTAGTTGGAGGGAAGCCGTCGTTGCTGCGTCGGAACGTCTCGAGGTAATTGGGCGCAAAGATAGCGGGGTTGCTCTTGAGACGAAGTTCGTCAGCTGTGTAGGCCCTACCGTTACAGGTGCATATCTGCTTGTGTAAGGCACGGCTGACGCTGTTGGTGAACTGCTGTAAAAATGTACCGGTGTCTGGCTCCCTGCAGAACGTCATCTTGGCTGGACTCGTCCGTGAGTTCAAGTTGGGTTGAAGTACATTAGGCCTACAGTGCGTTTCTCTGCAATATAAATAGATTGGAATGCGTGAAAATTGTTTCGGAATGTTAACTGTACCGGTATTGTCAACTTAAATATTTATCAAATTGGCAGCATAAAACTCTTTACATTTTGTATAAATAATTTTATATTCAGGAAGTTGTTTTCACAGGTCTCGTAATGTGGACATTCCTAATGAGTTCACGGCTGCTCCCTTCCAGCTGTATGTAGCTAACAGGTTTGCTGATGTTTGGATAATTTCAATAGCATTAATCAATTGGAAATCCGAATATTAACATGTTTTTGGCAGGGTTTTTCCCCGACACAGATTCTTCACTAGAAGTCTAGAGTCCTTGCTCTTTCCTACCTCCATGCTCTATGGTTCTACACAGAATTAGGGCTCAGAAGAGTGGCAACGTGATAATACATTCTTCAACATCTGCAGACCAGATCACATTACATACGTGTATAGGTTCAAGTTTCACAGTGTGTTTTGTTTTACATCAATTACAGCTGTACAGGCTTCCCGTCGTCTTGTGCTGCAGGTTAGTAACGTCACGCATGAAAATAACTGCACAATTCTTTACGACCAATGTCCAACTTGAAAGGTAAAACTGTGTCACCATATCCACATCTTGATGGCCGTACTGAACTCCTAATGGCCTAATTCTTAGTCCAAAACTTACCTTAAACTGAAGCACAGAGTCCAGATTTCTCCTATTAACTAGGGTTACCACCATTTCCAAATAAATTTTGATGTAAACATGTCATCGTCATTGGCCAATTAGGGTATTTTTCCGTAACTCAACCTGGGTTGTGACAAACCCGAGCCCAAACAGTAGCTGGGATACGTACAACGGTTGCACACCAAATAACCCCCCGCAATCACAGCACCTTTTGTGTACGTTTACTCATGCAGCTACATCGTTACTGTTGTGCAGGGATCTTGTCTGAAACTATTCAACCGGTATTTTTTTTTCGGCTTCTGGACTCGTCGCTGTGTGTTGCCGTGACTAGAAGGGAAATCTGTCTTTCATCAGGATGAGGTAAAAATGAAAACTGGCGCAGTCTAATTCCCTCTGTGCTGTTGCAAAATAATGCGGTAGCAAAAGTTGATCCCGGATTCAACAAATATTTGAAGGTCAAATCCGCTTAAAGATTGCGTTGGCTACGTGACGTGACCGCGCTGACCCCACGGTCCACTGGCACCGCGTGTAACAAATCTTTTGTGAAAAGCTGTGTGCGTTTCCAAGGGAACAGCCAGCCAACATTTCAGTGCAGGCAACTTGAGTTCTCGACGAGTACTTCAATTGATACCAATCGTACACGTGTCAACAAATCATGTAATCACCATGTAACAATGCTTTATTGAAATATTTCATTCTTATTTAGGGGTGTTGAGGAGTCTTTCTATCTGCTTGTAATTTTCACAATATCACGAGTTTAAACGGTGGAAGTATAATTGGGCATCAGTCACTTTTGCCGCGTATATACAGCACCAAGTGTGTACATCTGAGAAATCTTTGTTAATTCTATAAAGAACACTTTCTACAACTTTCATCTTGCGAGCATGACTTCCAGCAGATGTACATATTATACGCAGGCCCATTTGAAGCGTCACCGAACTATATAGTTAAGGGCAAACATCATTACCGTGCCATGCAGTTCCGGCTTCACTTTCAGTGATACAGTACACGTGGGCCCCTGTACATTTAGAGATTTTGTCTTCATTTTCCCAGCATTATTTCCGTAATATTATCATGCCATGGGATCGTCCGAGTAGCAGACGGTCAATCAGTGTTTTAAGGAAGCAGATTACCAAAGGAAGCACGGCAACTTATGGAGAAAACTAGCGAAGTGTGAGATAGCGCTTTCAGCTTAATAGTTGGTAGCAGCTGGAGAAGCAGATCTGGCAATTTTTCCAGGGGGGGGTTCAGACTAGTCAGATTTTGTTTTTATATCCGAATGTTGTGGATCGACAGGTGGACACGTCGAAAACGCATTAAAATGTACTGACGTACAAACAACAACCCTTGCATGATGTCAACTTTTGTACAATGAGTACAATTTCATTTTTTTTCAATTTATTGTGTCAGAGCGGGGGATGAGGGATCGACCCCCCCCCCCGTTAGCCGCTCTGGATCTACGCCTTCCGCCGGAATTGATGGCCAACCTGAAGTGTGGACCACTCAACTTTATTATACTAACGTTGTATATATCGAAAACACATATTGGGATCGAGGTGTGAAACAAAGGAGTGTCTTGATGACGTCATATAATCTCGAAAAATTTTTAATGATAGGTACACAGGCATTCTCCATTTTTCCCCAGCTTGGCGAGATCTGTTGTTAAAAAATGTTGCAGGTGCATGCCATGGAGGTGGAGAGAAAGCCAATTAATCTCTCATATAAACCTTTTCGATAGTTTCATACCCTGAAACAAAGAAACATATGCACGAAGGATGCCGGGATTTGTTTCAAAATGTTTCAAACATCTCATTTCACTCGTGTATGTGTTATTAGTTGCACAGGGAATTTCAGTAATTAAATTCATGTTGATTCACTTTGTAATTGCAGGATCGTGCTGATGCGTCTTTTCCTGTGCATGCAGATGAAAATATTTTTGAACATTAGGCAATCTTCAGGAGGGGAGGTTATTTTAGAGAACCGTTTTAAATGTCAATTTCCTGTTTCGTTTGGAATTTTAATTTTGTAGTTGTTTCGTTTTTATTTATTTCTTATTATGTTACTATTTTGTCCTGGTTCACACGTTTAATCAGTGGTAATTGGGGGTAAAATCCCCATTGAACACGAACGTTAGAGAAGAGATTTGGTCCCCTACTTTCAAAAATACTTTTCACTGCTTACCGTGATTCGCTCCACGGGCTACTGAGGCTTTGCTTCTGACGACTGGTCATTGAAGACGGCGCCCGCTGCACTAAAGTACCCCCCGTCTTGCAAGCCCCCGCCCAAGTATGGTCACCTTCTGTTTCTCTGATACCTAGCAGAGTTGCCATAGTTATTATTCGTTCAACTTTACTCTTACTGATGTTCCAGGGACGAAGTGAATGCGAGGTTGGACCATTATAGAGACCTGCACACTTAACACAGAAATAACTGTCGTCCCAAAAGGGGCTTTTGCAAACATCGTGTGATAAAGTAAACTGCGTCTAGTTATCAATCATTACAACACGACGTCCGTTCTTTGTGTTCACAAAGTTTCTGACCATAAAATAGTTATATCGGGACGAAGTCCACTCCGAGTTCACAGGAAAGATAAATTGATACAATATTCCGACAGCAAGCGATTGTGTTATCCACTTCATTTTGTACTACAAGCCACAGGACTTTAAAGATTTGTTTATGGTCATTTGGCTCAGTGCATCTCTCCCTCATGCATCGTGTGCGTCTCAAAAACTTATGGAGAATTTCAGTCATTATCGTGTATGCTTTGTTTCTAATCGTATATAGACCTACAGCCGCAATTCCAAAAGTTGAGCTAATTGCACCGTGCGTACACTAATGACTGAAAATCCCTTCCCGTCAATATATCTGTGGGGTGCTTGGGGACAAACAAGAGTTTCAACTTTTGACTGGCCTCCTGGAGAGCCTGAACAACCAGAGATATCTGTGCAACGTTGGCAGACAAAAAAGTGTTTGAGGGGACAAAGAGCTATAGGCAAGGAATCACACAATACGTGACAGGCAAGGGGCTCGGGTGACCCTTTAAGAAGCGTGGTGGTGAATTGAAGCATTATTCGTACACGGAATTGAAATGGAGGATTACAATTGTAAACCAAATTTCCGCCAGATAAAGCGTAAACATATTTGCTATTTCAAATAAGTTACTTCAGAAGTAAATTAATGATTTGCTATTCCAAGCACACTTAAAAGCTACGCTTGCAAAGTTGCATGCAATACAACCTTCGATCATCTTGCACATGCGTACACACCTTCCGTTTGGAAGGTATACATGTATTCAGCGTAGGCCTATGTCAGTAGACAACTTGGACGGCGAGTTGGGATATATAGGTTGGGTTATAAGCCTCAGCAGTACCTAACACTCGGCAGTGGCATAACTACGGGGGGTGCCCATTTGAAATCCATGATCAACTTGAACCTCTGATGCAGCTCATGGTCTTTTTTGTTCCCCTGAAAAAGATGTGTGCACCCCTGGTGCCCCCGGACATAATAGCCCTAGCTACGGCACTGACACACGGGGGCGCTTCTCATTTAAGGAGGCGGGAAAATACGAATTTACATTATATTATTTTTTCAATGGTGCTGTTCAGATCGGGGGTTTCATAATCCAGCAAATAACACAAATACTGGCCAAATAAAAGCCGATTCTACAGTCCATAGACAGAGTACGGTATGATCGATCGAATTTCAACTGCGCAGTAACTGGTTTCCGCCACAATGCGTTCGAAATCAGAGTAAAATGCAGGAAAGGGAACCAATGACCGGCAGCATTAATTAATAAAAGCAACACGTGGTGGTATGTAGTGCGCACATTCACAATTTCGCGTGCACCGAGGACGGATTGAGCCTTTGCTTAATGTTGTCAAAACAGCTAAGGTGAGTCTGCCTTTTTTCCGAGCGGATTTTGAGCCGTTTTCACCCTCAAATTAACGCCGAGAAGTGGCGTATACACAGAGTTGTCGGACTTATTTAAAGTATTGTCTGAAACTCCGTCTTAGTGTTCGGCGGGCATGCGGAAACTTACCGCCACATTCCTTCGTGTCAATCTATTTTGGGATGAACTTTCGAATGCGACCGTCGTTCTGCACTCACTGTAGGGCCTAAGCGTGGAACCAAATTAAAATGTCGTCGTACAGTAAAATTTTCTAGTCCCCAAAAACATTTACTGTGCATATTTTGTTGCTATATGCCAGTGAAAAATGCATCGTCAATCCGTTTCCAAGGCCAAATATGCGCTGCAATTTCTTACAAGGTAGGAAATCATGTCCAAATTACCTTTCCTGTCGTGGTAAATCTTTTAACACAGTTGAGTATTGAGTGGTCATGTTGTGCAGGATTTTCAGAAAAACTGCAGAATTCTTATTTGTAGCAGTTGGAAGTATTGTCGACATTGGAACTGAGTCTTTGAAGGATTCCCCCGCCCCCAAAAAAGTTTCTGGCCAAACTGTGTGTACCACACAAAGAAACACTTATGAAGTTTATAGGAATACTAAATATTCTACCGGTGATAACGTCACGAAAACCTAACAACAAATGGGCTGTCAGTGAAGAATTCTGAAAATTCTTTGTAAATTAATGCATCTAATTATAAATTCCTCCATAATTGTCAACATAGATAAGTCACTATTTACTATAATGAAGGCGTTTTGAAACCTTTGACTACATTTCTGCTTTCCAATCTATGTCTGATAAAGTTAAAAGGGACTCTTGTTGCTTCTACAGGGACCACACTCAACCATGAGCCAAATCAGTTGAGGAAGGAAGCTGATCAAAATATCTTCTTAGCAAACTGGTTCATCAAGGACGAGACCCCCCCCCAGCATTGCACGATTCATTCGCTTTGGACGAGGAAGACTGCAAGGAGAGATGGGTCAGCCTAAGTAGAGACTGGAGGTCATGATTTGCATGTTTAGTAAGGTGAGGTAACCATTTCTTACAGCTGTGAACATGCACAAGGCCTCGGAGGATTGCAAGATTCATCTGATTCTGACAAGGGAGGCTGCAAGGTCTGTTTGTCAGTGCAGTACAACAGGAGATGGGTCAGCCCAAATAGAGGTCGGGGGACAAGACTGCATGGTCAGCGAGGTAAAGAAACCATTTTGCCTTTTACAAGAGTCTGTTTTGAAGATAAACATGCAAAATTATGCCCTTTCTAAGTACCTTTGAAACCAATCAAATCAGAATGGTAAATTTGTGCTGAAAGTCCATTAGATTTTGTTTACTGTATGTTGTTGGAAGCTTGCTCTTGTAACAAAAACAGAAAGATGGCAGACATGTCCAAGACTGTGTGCTGGGTACTTAGATTCTGGACAGGATGAAGCATTAACATCACTGGCACTGAACTTTATGGATTTCAACATTCAGATATAAAGCAGAATTACAAATGGTACTAAAACAATGAAATTATCACTTCAATGAAGCTGCACTGCGTCTACACAGAACAGGAAGAAAGACTGATTTTATTGGCAGATTATTTGAACGACGGGTATTTAAAAACTACATGATTCATTTCTCTGTAGCTGCAAATTTCTATTTTAAATGGCCTTGGTTTTTTTAAAAATACAAAGACTGTGTCATTGCCTTGCTGCTCCCCTTTTAAGACAAGTGGATGTAAGCTATTGAGAGATTTCTGTTCAAGGCTGCACCCAAAGATTTCATTAACCCTGATCTCTGAGGTGTGTATAAAAGCATGTCAAAATTGTAGGATTCAGGACTTTTAGGACTATAAAAAAAAAGCTATTAAAGAAAGATGGAATAAATGTCCGGTTGTTAAAAAACAACTCCCGTAAGGTCCAACTAACGCAAGGTCTGTGAGTAACATACCAACATTTCAGCCCTTGTTTATGTAAATTACAAAAGAATTATCAAGAGGAATCTGAACTCATGCACAATACAGGCGATTCACAATAGTGCGCCTCCAAGAGTTTACAGCACAGTGGCCAACCACAACGCGCGAAATCTGTCAACCCTTTCTAAACGCACATTGGGTCGACAAATTTTGCGCACTGAGATTGGCCAATGTGTTGCAAACTCTTGGAGGCGCACTATTGTTAAACGCCCGTATTACGGTGATGTAGCGCCTGCCATATACTTAAGAGAAGAAATTGATACTACTGACTCTGCACAATTTCAGGTGTTCAGGTCCTTTCCGCCTCAACACTGGTGAAACATTAGTTGATATCAAATAATCCTTCTTAGCACTGTGTCTGTCAAACGTATCTCAACCAACTGGATGTTTCCCTGACTGACCCACATGTCAAAGCAGCTTGTCTTGTAGTTTGCACCTGATCAAACACAAGGACATTTTCAATCACTCTCTCGGAAGACTTTCCACTTGTCAGATGCAGTGGCCGTATTCTGTGGTCCAAGGAGGGTGAGGGAATCCACCTGCGCCCCCAAGGCAAGATACCTGCAGGTGAGGTAAAAAAACAATCCCGCTTCGAAACTAGAACAGCCTGGTGTTACATGTTAGGGCAAATTTCCCCCCAAAAACAACAAAACAAAATAAATGCATGTGCTGAGTTGATTACCGCAAATGATAAATCTTTTTTTGAGAGGCATTTCAGAGCGGAGAAAATGACAAATTGTAAGACCAATGGTTGCGCGAGCAGTGGCAATTGTGGGAAGCCTTCCAGAGGATGCATTTTGAAAACTGCAGCCTTTTCAGGGAATCATATGTGAAGGGTTTTTTGTGGGGGGCAGGATGTTTTTTCAAAATGTTGGCGGTCCGACGAAAATTGAAAACGAAGTTTGAAATCTAGATCTCTGTTTTAATTTGTGCCACATAAATAAAGCAGTTTCCTTTTGCTGCAAATGTGTCATAGGCATTTGTAACCAAAATGGGAATATTAACAGGCATCTGAATAGCCTCTGGACAGGTGACACCAATACAATCTGTTATTGTATAACTGTACTCAACGAGCAAATGTCAAATTCAGACTCAAGTGGGTCAAACTGTGAAACACTTACTTTTGTGTTCTTGGACAGGGGCGCAGTTCACAGAAATTCTCACATTATCCTCGACTAAGTCCTGAATCAATTTTAACTTTGTGAATCCTTTCACTGCATCTATCCCTCACTTGCATATTCCTCAACTGCTAGAGACACAAGGTCCTACCATGGCAGCTTGGATAGCACAGACAGCCACATTCTTCAATGTTTTATCATTAAGACTGACCTCTGAGCGACCTCCTGAAGGTCCTCTTGGCTGACAGCAAACATCCTCTGCCTCTGCTCTTGCCTCATGTCGTCTGAGATGTGAGACGTGAACAGAGTCATTCCTTTATCTGATGGGGCGATAGGGGCATCCACCTAGTTGGGAACAAAGTAAAAAAAAAATACCAATTACAAGGACTGACCTGAACAGCTACCCCTTAAGAAACCCTCATTCAAGTTTAAGGTTCAACATGGCTTTAAGTGAAAAACAAGGGTAGCCTCGACTTTTTCATCCATTTTGACTATTTCTAACAGAAATGAGTCACACAGCCTGGGTTCCCATGTAATGAGTCCATACCAAAGGGGCTCTGATGTTTTCTAAAGCACACAATCTCTTGTTCGGCACTGAGTAGGTCAAAGTTCCCTCTCAGTGAGCCCGTTCTACTCAGTTTGTCTGCAAATCTGGAATTCTCAAGGCAACACAGTACTTCATAGTTTCCTGAATGAAAACACAACAAGCCAATGTAACGAGAGGTGAAAACATGAACTCACTGCCGAGAACACGGAAAGCTTGGCTTCATCTATGTCTTGCTGACTGTAGGATCCTTCAATGGCCCATTCCACTGCTCTGTCAAAAGCCTCAAGCGTTTGAAGGGAATTCGGGTCTCTGTGATGGAATCAAACACAATGCCGTGCTTGTACAAGAATGTTAGATTATAAAGGCCCATACAGTTTCACATGAGTCCACATTACATGATTGTACTTAAATTTGTCACCAATTTTTGACAAATCTCTAAACATAAATCTTTCACTGATGTGACTGTCTCTGTTTGTTGTGACTTATTTACCTGTAGGAGTAGAACTTGAAAGATCCCTCAGTTCCTAATGTGGCCCCACTTCCATAGGCACCACCTTTTTCCCTGACAGGAAAATAATTGAGGAAAAAACATTTTTTCTAGTTCCTGTCTGAATGTATGGTGGTAACGCATTAGTGTAGTGTGTTGTATATGATATTAAGTAATTTCAAAATGTTTCAAAATGCAGAAAAACAGGACGGCTCAGTATTATTATCCACACAGGAGCAATGACGCTTGATTCCATAAAAAAAAATTTGTGATATATTTTGAAGGCACACCAAGCAAGACAGAATACTGAATAATGAAAACCACTCGTAGGTGATGCCAGAGAAAGGCTGAATTCATCAAATGAACCCGTGTCCAAGTTTAACTCTTGTGCACTCATCTGTGACTCCAGTCCATACCTTATTTCCCTGTGAAGGAATTTGGCGGACATGAGCCTGGCCAATATTCTCAATCTGCGGGAAATAAAAAATCAATGGATAACAATTGAGATTTTGAATCTGACATACACAGCCAATGAGTTCTAAAAGACTGACTAAAATCACATCTGTTCTATCGACAACTCAGGTACACAAACAGAAGTGAACAGAGTAACCATCCAGCTTCAGTCATCCTATAGATGCAAGTAGATCAAAAACAAAACAAAACCCTCATTCATCACAAGGATACTTCCAGGCAAATTGGACAATTGTTTACCAGCAAAGGAACATCTGACCACATTCTAAACATTTCAAAAGTGAAAATTTAGGATCTTTATCAGCACACGGTCGTGGACAACTTGATCTTATTTAAAGAGGCAGGTGGCAGAAAACATTAAGTCACAATTGTGGTAAACGCAATAAGAAGCTACTCATTTGAATCAGCACGTTAAGTCGAATCTTCTGCCTAAAAATTTTCCTAGGATCAGCAAAGCGACGTGGATGAACTCACTTGGCAAAGTCTGCGTGAGTGTATGACACAGCCCGCACTCCTCGGCTGGCATAGTTGACAGGGAATGGAAGCTCAAAGTGAGTCCTTTGACTCACTGAACAGAAGTCTTCAATCTACAATACAAGAAATGACTCCAAAGCTTATCCACAATAAAATAAGTTATACAATACTGCAAGACTAAAAAAACAAATTGAGAAGAAGCAAACTAAATAATTGTAATTTTGTGACCAACACATGTCGGCACAGTTTAAACTCTACTTACAGATACACTCACTGAAAATGTATCACTTTGGAATTTCTGGCCTGCTGTTTGAACTCATTGGCGCTGCTTCATGGCCCTTGTAATTGCTGATGTATAAAGCGAACTGAATGGAGTGCTGAGTTAAGCAAGTCAGCACAACTTGTGGCAAACAGGAGAGTTGAGACTTATTTTTTAACATGTTGCCTGCCGTGCCTAATTCCAAAGGGGTGTTCCCCATTTGTCAAGCATGGTACGTATGCGTGCATATTCAAGGGGTACCTTTCACAGGTCTATTTGAACATGAGCATCTTACAGAGGGATGTCCCCCACACTGCCAGCAGCGTATTTGTGTTGTTCTTTGGTGATGCCAGTGTATTCAATTTATATTACAATCGCCTTTCATTTCCTAGGAGTATACTCATAGTGGCAGAATCCAGTACACCTGTGACTACGAGTACACCTGTAGTCAGCAGTCAACGTGTTAACCACTTGCTGCCGGGTGGAAGTTGAAGTTGCATGAAGTAAAACCGGGAGACTTTCAAGATTTTCCGTTCTCAAAATTCTTCAAAAAATCATAACTTCATTTACTGGACGTTTACATCCACACAAATAACTGTCTGGTGGCTACTCTCGTCTAACAGACAGCATCTATTGATGCCCAAGCATTTCAGCCAGGCCTGCCACCTTGTAAAAAGAGCCCAGATTGTGTGGTGTTACATAAGTTTCTTTTGACACGGCTGGCATCTTTTCAAACGGGGCCAGATTAGCGTGCAGCGGTGCTGTGTGGCTCATCGCTGAAGTGCTGGAGCACTTTTGTCACCAGTGGTAATCCCCTTGCACTGAATACCACAAACAGTGGTAAAATCTTTCAAAACATTGATGGATTTCCTCCTCTGAAAACTGAAAACAATATTTCACATCAATCAAAATCTGAGTACATTAGGTGCTAGCCAAGACTATTTGATAAATCAAAAGTGAACTTCAGTCAAAAGTAGCACTATTACTAAAACTTTCAAGAGAATGTTTGCCAAGAGTGTTAAAGGAAATGAAAAATTGGCAACTGTCAATGCATTGCAGATATCCTTAACCCTTATCCCTTCAGGTGTATGCGTGTAAAATCATATTGAAATTGGAGGATTCAGGACTGTTAGGGTTAAACCTGCACTGAGTAACTAGTGCAATCAAACGTTGTTACGAACTCTGTTAACACAACATAATGCTTATAACGAGGAAAGTTTTAGATCCCAGCCCTTAGAGGTTCCTGTTATAACAAAAGTAATTATCAAAGCCAGAGAAATCTCTTATTAATGAGGTTTGACCACATGATTGCAGTAACATTTCTCAATGTCCAAATGCTACTGACCTTTGTCAACAGAGGGCGCTTTGTCTCCTGTGCTGCTCCTGGCAAGCAGCCAAGGAAACTCTGCAGGTGCCTCAACGCATCATCCATGAATTCTGGGCCAGAATTTAAGGCACACCTTCAAAGAAGAGAAAAACAATGATCTATCGACGAGTACCTTTTCCTTTCTAAATCATACATTACTTATCGGGATAACGGGGAAAAAAGCCCATCTGATGACACTGTGGGAAGACCACTCCCATCTCAAGCTCTCACCTCAAGTTGTCCTTGTTTAGAAGCAGACCGGATACCTGTCTTATTTTCTCCATGGTCTCCGTCAGATCAGATGCCTCGGCAATTCTCTTCATGAAGCTCACCTGCCACCACAAGAAAATTCTGAGATTACAGAGCAAATTTGGAAGTGAAGAAATATAAGGGACTGGATTTAAACTCTGAGAGATTTTGAGTGGAGGGAACTTTGAAGTGTTCATAATAAACCGTACGAATGTATAGCTTTGATGCAGAGTTCTCAACGGCCAAAGGAAGGACATGTGGATTACAGTCAAGTATGGAAGTGGAATAGTGACAGACAGTATAAACAGTGAAACGGGTTCAGAAGAAATGGGTTCTAAACCGCGATGAATGTCAGAAGAGCAGAAAAATGAACAGAGGAGGTTCAGAGAGAACATTGTTATGGTAATTCAGAGCAGATTTGACATTAGTAAGTACATTCGAAGTAAAAAAAAACTACTCAAAAAAATTTAAGGACCACTTTTTTTGTTAACTAGTAATTTTTTCCAAGCAACGAGTGGGGTCTAATTTTTTGTTTGTCTAGATGGTGTTCTTACTGGAATAAAAAATTTAAAAAATGTTTCAAAACATCAAACGCACATTTTCTGCAGTAAAATGTCTCATATAAAAAAGAGCATCCCAAGAGTTAAGCGATGTCGTCCTTGTGAAGCTTGAGGGGCTGATGAATGTGCCGAAATCCTCTAACGACAGATGCATGAAGAAGGTGTATCGGTACTTTACCTGTGCCATGCCACCGCATATTTCCTTGATTCTGCCAACCGGTGACAGCAGACTACCGGCGTGCTTCATAGCGTAGGCATGCCCCATGTCTGGTATTGACATGGCCAGCTCCGAAGCCCTCATACGGACTAAAGTTGTGAGTCGGTCCATATCCTTCAGATTTGGGCTGATTTAATATAAAAAGGCCAAAAACTTGAAGTGAGAGACTGTTGTCTGGTGGCATTGTTACTTCCACCATATTTCAGGCCGACTTATATTATTCTACTGCATATTATCGAGGTCAAAACAAAAGAAACATTGAGTGCCGACTACTCAAAGTAACAGGTGTACCAGATTCTGCCACTACGAGTATACTCATAGAAAATTACAGGCTTTCGTATTAAAAATTGAATATGCTGGCATCACAAGAGAACACAAATCCGCTGCAGGCAGTGTGGGGGACATACATGCTCATCTGACTGAAACCCCTGAAAAGTACCTTTTAAGTATACGCTCATGCGTACAACACTCGGCCAATAGGAACAGCCTGAAAGTATCAAATTATGCGTGGCAATTTGTACACTCAGGGTTGTTCCAGCTATTGAAAATTTTCATAACAGCCTGTCATCGTTTCCAGCCATAAAACAGTCCCAATCTCATCTGCTACCAAATCATGAGGTAAATGGTAATTATTAATTGGGAAAAGTTTTGACATAAGCGGACAACAAAGAGTGACGACAGAGAAAGAAAGAGAAGATCAAAACATGTTAATAGGAAAAGCCTGAAATTATCAAATTATGCGTGGCAGTCGACATGTTAAAGACATTCGAGGTAGTTTGAAATGGTAGAAGTAGTTTGATAACACTGGCAGCTTGATTTCTCAATAGTTTGATATTATGGTCTTGATTCCAGCAACTTGAGACACACTAAATGTCAATTTATCGTAGTATTTCTAGCCTTGTTCTAAATTGTCAACAAGATCTCTTATTTTGGGATATTTTTTCACACTTTTGAGAACATATTAGGCATGGTTTATTTTTTACCAAAAAACTGCTAACACTGCACAAAATTGGAAGGAAATACCTTTTTTACAATAAAAAATAATATGTACGTAAAGTTAATCATTACCTATTAAAGACATCACTCCAAAGTTGAAACATGTCTTCCAAGTTTTTATCCAAGCTGAATGAGGTCAGGGTAATTCCCTTCAGAAGAACAAAAGAACAATTTCAACACTCTGTAGTATCAACAGATTTTTTTCCATGGGGGAGGGGGGCATGCCTCAATGTACCTGTAAGTGCTTACAACTCTGCTTATCGGACTTTGGCAAAAGAGCACTCTGATGTAGTAATTCTTAATGGCGAAAGTGACCACACTAACCATTTTTCTTGATCAAACTCCATCATCTTAAGAAGTACCGTCCCCAATGTCTCCACTAAACCAGCTTGGGACATTGAAATCAACTACTTTTTAACACAGTTTGCAAACACGTATGTATTCAGGACAGTGAACTGAGTTCAGCTTTAGTTTTTTCAAGAGTGGATGGGGGGGGGGGGTTTGACAGGGGTCATGCCCCCACAAAAAACTGGAGCCAAAAAAATTAAAGGCAACTTTATTCCCTCATTTCATTTCTCTTTCTTTCCCCAAAGCGTGTCAAAGAAATAAAAAGATTACATGAAAAATTTGGTTCTGGATCCAATTGTGACATCTGTAACCTTTCACCTGCTCTACAGACAGCACATCGTTGGGGTCCTGACAAGCATGGTGTCCAACACCTAAGCCTCCTGTCTTCAGCTCCTCACGCTGTGCAAACTCATGGAACGTCATGTCTGCTGCCCCCATCCTGTTGTTAAATGCACAAAAAAACTTGTCACTGTCTAAACCAACGAAAACTCAAGTACTGTGCACAGGCACTTTGTAAGAACTGTGTCATGTACGTACCCATTTACATTTCTAACACTGATGCATGGTGGAACAATTTTGGGTTTTCACAAACAGACATGCTAGCATGGAGCAGAAATAAATTTTGGAGAAAAACACTCCTAAAGGAACTGACACAATTTACTCTGTCCACAGACTTGTCAGGAAGAGAAAAACCTGCAAATGAAAAACCTTTTTTACTCTGAAAATGGAGAAATGTTTGATATAAGTACAAAATGAGCTAAATGTGTCCACACAGTACTTTTGCAAAAAGCTTAAATTACACAGCTCTGTACATTATGTGTGAGTGGTGTGGTCTCAAGTACCACGAAGTGTCACTTTGTGGGATGAACGACAAATTAAATACAAGTAAATGAGTTGATCAGCAAGATCCCTGGGGCTCAGATCATTCAAGACTTAATGGTTATGGATGATGCTTATGCTGTCAAGATGTAACTTGCTGATTACCTCTTCGAGTCTCAGAACTCAAATCAGACGGCCTGCGAGCGAAAGGGCTGAGATGATCTGTTTCTTACCTTGTTATGACGCCGCAGAAGAGCGGAATGTACGGTAGGAGGTCGTCTGGGACCGACCGCAGAGTAGACACAGCTCGGAAGTAGGTTATGCCATTGGTTGGTTGTTCGCAACACTGTACGTGGATTCCATCTGGAATTATAAATATAGCGTAGATCTCTCTCACATGACGTTACTTCTTACAGATTGTCAAGTGCACTGACATTTTGGATGTCAAATCTGTGATGCACATCGGCAGTGCAGTATTTGGAAGACATTAGGATCAACATAAATACCTGTAGTTTTTAAATTTTCCTACAAAGATGGCATCCTGTAAGAGAGATCCATAACTGACAGCATAAACTGAGGTCACACCTCTACATTCCTGCTGGCAAGGAACGATTTCTTCCACAACTTTTAAACTCCCTGAAATCTTCAAGTCACCAAAATGTAATTGTAATATGAGCATGTGCACACTGCATGTACCAGCTGGCACACAAACCTAAGGTCGATGGTTCCATACACTGGCTATTTTGTTGAACTCTGGCTTGTCTTTCCTTCTGTAGAATTGTCCTAAATATGCCAAAATTCAGCACTTGGATCCCAATTCATAGAATTACTCGGCAGAAAATCTCGCTCAGCAACTTTATGCACCACGCTAATGTTACAACCAATATAACATCTTACCCGGTAACCTCTTTGGTTTGTTAGTGTGTGCTTAGCAAAAAGATAAGCTAAGCAGCTATATGAAACGGACCCATATTTCACAGTGTGTTGATAGATTCAAGATGACAGGCCTCTGGCTCACTTTCTCTTAACATGCAAAGAATGGCCCTAGCTTACTAATGCAAAGTGATAAAGTTTGAAGGACAAAGGGCATTAGAGACAATAGCACAGACACACTGCCACATTAGCTAAATTGATACATAATTGTGTTTTACATAGGTCTACAACAGACCCCCAAAGTGACCTCCAACACAATGCCATACTTTGTTCACAAGTGAGCTTTCCTATAGGACTTGATGGTTTGATGTCTCACCACTGCAATAGGAAAGTGTGCATGTAAACAAAGTGTGAAAGGTTACTTTGTGCCTTTTGGTGACTGTTGCCTTGTTTCTAAATTGAAAAAAGGTGGGCAGCCAATGTTTGTATTCTCTTTAGAAAGAGCTGAGCACAGTATTTCAATCAAGGACTATTAACACTACGACTTACCGGACTGTTTGAAGTCAAGTTTTGCTCTCTTCAACTCAGGTTCAATGTCTGACACTTTTAGTGTGGGCAGAACTGAGACATCTTCTTCCCTGTCTTGCTCATCTGCTAATTCAAGACCTGCATCAAAATTGAAATACATCATCTCCAACTTACAGCACTCATCTTTGAGAAAGGTTATATCACTATACCAGGAAGTTATGTGAGTGGGGACACACAGCGGTTGTTTCCTGGAGTGACTGGCTAGCGGCGGATTTGTCAGGTTTGGTGTTGCTACTCTGCAAGTCGCCCGTATGCTGGTTAGGGTTGAAGAATTCTTGACATCCTTACCCTTGGCATAAATGCCCCTTCGGTCCTCTTGGCTCAGCTCTGACACCATGCTGTCCAGGATTCTCTTCTCCTCCTGGTCCAGCTCGTCCTTGTAGTCCTCCTTGGGGGTCATGACCAGGGTCAGGCGGTGGGGGTTTCTGAGGAAGTACTCCTCGGTCTTGTCTTGCAGGAATCTGGGGTTGTCGGCCAGGCACGCCTGGAACCGATCCACGTTCCTGTTGACGCGCAGCACGTCGGCCAGTTCCGTGTCGTGATTCCAGCTCTGCATGAGGGACTGACCGATAACACCAAAAGTAATTGACGTGTCCTCTTTTCTTTTCTTTTTTCATGGGCTCAAGCTTTGTGGCTTGATCTCCAAAGACTGTTCATCTGCTGAAAATTTTCAATTTAAGGTTTGTTTCCATATGGCAGGAGAGGCAATACAGCACTCTTTCTAGAACACATTTGCATTTTTACTATGAGTTGGTTATGATTAGATTTTGAAATATTCGTGTAAAAACAACAGATATATAGGCCATCTTCTAACACTGTATTGCTGTCGTCAAGCGAAGATTTTCTCTAGATTGCATCACGGTTAGGATGAATATTGCTGCCTTTTGAAAGTCGGGCCTTTTTGATTTACACAATTTGTACACTCAGGGTTGTTCCAGCTATTGAAAATTTTCATAACAGCCTGTCATCGTTTCCAGCCATAAAACAGTCCCAATCTCATCTGCTACCAAATCATGAGGTAAATGGTAATTATTAATTGGGAAAAGTTTTGACATGAGCGGACAACAAAGAGTGACGACAGAGAAAGAAAGAGAAGATCAAAACATGTTAATCATACAGAGAGTCCTTCTTGTCCAGTAAACACAATTTAATGTATCAAGACACAAAACTTGGGCTTGAGGAAAAGCAAAGATTAAATTTCTGATCTGGCAAAACAGAACATTAACACTAAGCAGATAAAAAGAGAAGTAAAACATACAGCTATAAGTTGCAGGCCAAATGTGGTAGTCTGGTGCTTTTGAGAAATCTCAATTTTATGAAGTACTGCATCGATTCTCTCTTTCTCAAATCCGTTCCTGGATGTGGCCAAAAGAAAGAACAACAAAATGATGGCTTAAGGGCAAGTCTAGTGATTCAAAGTCACTCAATACGTGAACAGGCAACGACAAAATTAACTGAATGACACGAAGCAAAACAAACAAGCAAGCAAAAGATCAAACAAATGAAAATAAAACATGCAATGTGCTGACCAGCAGCAGGGTTTTTCTTCAGGCCTTGTTTTGAGGAATCCTTTTTCCCTTCAACCACTCTTGAGCACCATCTGCTCAATTCTTTCTGAGAGCTCTTAACACAAAGGCCGTTTTCCAATACTCGACTTCGGCTCCGTCTCAGGCTTCAACTATTTTTTTACTTCCTGACTTTGAGGTTATAAGCGCAATAGTAAGTCTGGTAGTGCCGCCAAAAATCAAGAAAGATGCAAATGAGTCAAACATTAAAGTATTTCAATTTAAGTTAAATGCTTCAGGCCCACAATCGGGAATTGGTTTCCTACACGAACCTGAGACGGAGACGAAGGTGAATATTGGAAAACGGCCAAAGTTGGCTCTGTCCGTTTCCAGATTTCCAGCCTACTGCTAGTATCACTCTATTTATCACAAACAGAATCACTGAGCTTACAGGGGTTGGCACTGAGTAATGGGTGCTCCAAAATTGCATCATTGACAGGTGCCAACTTCCAAAAATGAATTATAAACATCTTACTACTTTATTTTTTATTTATAACCAAGGCAAGTCAGAGTAGCAGTAACGCTATGCCAGACTCCACTTTGTACCAATGTTCCATTCAGAATAAATTCCCAAGCATGGTGTTTGATAAACCTTTGGGTCAACTTGCACGGTTTGTTGAAGATCGATTCACCCGCTCCATGTCAATAAACATAAATTTCTCTCTCGTTTTTAACTTACTCTACAACTTTCTTGAACGTGTCCTCAATGATGCTTTTAACAGGCTCAACATCCTCCTGCCGTATTCCTTGAAGACCGACCGAGAAAGAGGCATCTTTGGTACTTCCATCATAGCTATCATGAAGAATAAAAGGGGTCGTATACTGTCACAGCTGTCAAGATGGATTAAACTTCAAGCATTACCATGAAGGAGGAAATGTGTTGTGCCAACTGAAGATGAAATACTGTGGTGACCACCTGGGCCCAATTTCAGGGTGCTGCTTAACAGTTAGCAGAAAAGTTGTACTTACTAAGCATAAAATTTTGCTAACTGTAAGCACTATTTTATGGTGGTGGTTGTGCTAAGGATTGCACAGTGCTGTGCTTCCTGCTTACACTCTCCACAAAATATGTGGAGCCACTGTTAGTATAGAATCGGGCACATAGCAGCGCTGTGAAAGTGAGCCCTACTGACTGTGCCCCTAGCCCAAGAAGGCTTCTTTTACTGTGTCTTTGAAGTAAATTCTGCCTTTTGAGGTTGGCTGTGTTTGTACTGCTTTAGGTATCTGTGTAGCGAAAGGAATTTCTGTTAGCAGAAATATCATGCGCTCGTCAGGGGCAAGAAAGCAAGCCAAGATTTGTGGGTATCCTGGCATCTTGACAGGGGCAGGTGAGTAGGTCTAGGGGAGTAGGTCAGGCCAAAACACCTGACAGGGGATTATTAAAAGAGCAATGTTTTGCAATGATTCAGGGCGTGTTTTGGCCCTCATCATGTGTCACTATTCAATGATTGAATGCTTAGACAATCCACTGTGTTGGTGGGCAAGGTCCTGCTTTGTTCTGTCTTCATTCAAGACATTGGAGACTTTTTTTTCTCAAATACCTGGAGAGCAAAGGTGCGCCACAGTTAAATTAAGTGACATGTAAGTCATTTTCAAGTAGCAAGTAACTCGTCCAAATTATGCTCAAGTTTTACGGGTAACTTACCCCAGGACGGGAGAGTAGTCAGACCCAATATTGGCCTGTACCAGTGCTTGATAGAAAGGAGACGTGGGTCCAGACACCAGCAGATGCGACAAGATGGACATGGTGAATCCCTCAAACGAGTCTGTCAAGCTAGGGGGTGAAGAATAAAGTTTCATCAACTTTGATCACCACCATCATCATCCAAGTAGCATCTTGTCTACGAGTGAATCCAAAATTAAGACTTGTGGGACATGCGGTCAAATGGTTAGGGTTGGTAACTCCCTATCGCACAGTCGTGATTCGAATCCTGCTGTGGGGCACAGACTGCGATAATGGACAAGTAACTTTACTCCCACTTCCCTCTCTTGGCCCAGGAGTATAAACGGGTACCTGTGAGGGCAGAGAGGGTCATTTGTAGCTGATTAAGCAGGTAGCACCTGCTATTACTGCACCGATGGTTGTATACTCCCTTGGGAGTTGAGATGGTTCAAAGGAATGATTCTGGACCCAGTTAGCAGGGACAATATGGTGTACAGTGCATTGAGAGTCCATCGGTACTAGAATGCACTATATGAATATGTCATGTTATTATAAATATTACTGATAATTTCCTTGGTCTCTCTGGTGTCCAGCTGTTTACCTGTTCAGAAGGAAGCTAACACTGACTGTAGTCTGTTTTTCGGGGTCAGCTGCCATTGGATCAGGGGCGCAGCGGACATGTTTCTCCCTCTGTTAAAAGCGACAGATTCAACTCATCACATCATCACAAATTGAAAAGATAACTGCAGATCGGGAGTGCAAAACTGTGAGATTAAAAAAGGGTCAAAGGGTAGGAAAGACGTGGAAGTGATTTTCCCGTGCCTTTAAACACTTGCTGAAGGTACTATTGTGGGCCGAAAATTTGGCCAACCTTTGATATCCAGCCAAACGGCAGAAACCTTCACAAGAGTCAATTACCGGTTGCGTCCAGCGTGCCTCGTTGGGTACCTCCGTGTTCGGTGTGATAGGAGAGAAAGATGCTAATGCCTGTTGTTGAATGGCCTCAAGATGACCCTCTAATGGGAGGTCGCCGTAAGTGAAAAACCTTACATGGACAACAGGGAAACCACAGCAAAACGGCAGGGTTATCACTACTGATATTGCCAAGTATGCTTTACTCTCACGATTCGGTCTCTTATCTTAACACCTCGGCCTGGCATACAAGCAGAACTGTTTACAATACTGAAGAGTCACAGGGGAATATTCTGCACTGACAATGACTCTGCAGCTTACATGTATTTCCAGAGAGAGAGAGAGAGAGCCAGAGAAGAATACTAGGTTTGTGGCTGTACATCCACTGCCTTAGAATTCTGGTGCTGTGCTTTCTGTGTTCGTGAAACTTATCACTGCAAGTGCAGAATGTTACATTAAGCCAAGGAAACAAGACCCCGTACTTCCATCAGCAAGACTTAACGGTCACTGTATGCTACTGTTCAACAGTGTGGCGGTAGAGGTCATCACAAGACTAGTCACAAAACCAGTCACAAGATCAGCCACACGCAACAGGATGAGCAAAGAGAAAGAAATGCTTTTCCTGTAGGTTATTTGAACAGCTTGTGACTTGAAAGTGGAGGTCCCATATTGGTCTTACGATCGCCTTGTGATGCCCGTAGAGGCCCCAATTACAACCTCCGCTGTTCAACCATAGAGGGATTATTTTCTAATCCGTTAACCCCTGTAGGCCAAATCGACTGTGATTTACCTCGAGTTGCTAGGGTGGTAGTGAGTGGCATGGAAGTCCTTCAACTGTTGCCAGGTGAGGTGTGGGATGTGCAGGGGGTCTCCCCCGCTGTTGTGGGAGTAGGTGTGGCCGGGGAGGAGGTTGTTCTGACAGTGGAGGGCAAAGATCTGTTCTGGGCTCGTCTGGACGACGGAGAGAATCACAAGGTTGAGACTGGAAAAGATGTACGTGTACTACAAGGATAAAGGATGTGATCTACCCCTCCCTCTACCCAAGCCTTCTCATTTAGCATCCATTTACACCGATGAGCAGATGCATGATTCTGTGTGGTACAATTTATATGTGATGGTTTGCCACAAGAATGTTTACACCGAGGACTGACTGCTGTGTTTAAAAAGCACCTCTAAGTAAAACACGTTTTCTTAGATTTTATCTATTCATATAAATAAATAATGCATGTAGCCATTGTTTGGCATACACAAGAGTTTATCCACTATGAACACAGGGTGAAGGTTCTCCTCGTTTTCTCTGTTTACTCAGAATGACGTAATCTACATTCAGAATTCCTATCTTGGCATGAACAGAAAAAAAAGCCCTTTTGAGCTTGTTACACATGTAGTTGAGCTCTGAAGACAAATGACACTGCATTCGATTTGGATGCTTCCATATTTATTTGAAAAGATAAAAATCAGAGAAAACGTGTTTTCCTTAGAGGTGCTCTATAAAGACCTGAATAATTTTTCACAGATACTGTGCTGAGACAGTGCACTCTGGCCAATCAGAGGTCTTGTTAGGTATGATGTCATGGACTGAGTGCTTCCTAATTGTGCTTTCTATTCTTCCTGAGGGGGTGGCACTGTTTTTGTGGAGTGTCACTAAAGTAATGCTTTGCACATTGAATGGTTTTCCACCTTGCATAATGGACAATATTGCGCAGCAATAACTATGTGTTATCACTCATCTGTGTAAATGAGCCCTAAGGGTTGAAAATGAAGCGTTAATAATCCATTAGTCAAAGAGGTGTTTTTTCCCATATTTTCATGCACACCAATTCCTGTTAATTGTACTTGGCTGTGCCCATTACCTTTCCTTTTCAGAAGTTATCAACTAAAACATCGATTTTGCACAAAGCCCTCCATTGATTTGAACTGTCAAATCCCTCCACAAACTACACACATCTGTGTGGAATGCCTGAAAGGGTGGCTTACGCCCTAACACAGTGAAGAGTTTAAGAACACCTAGTCATTGAAGAGACAGGCTTTGGCTTACAGTATTTTAGTACACTTTTGCTTACATGACTGGATTCAAACTTTCTCATCCCTTCCTCCTTCCCTGCTGCTGTTCAATTCTCTCCCCGTTTTCCTGGTGTTTGTCTTACACATCCCGCTCCTATCCCTTTTTGTCTCATTCTGTCTCTTTACCTTTTTTTTTGTTTTTACGTTTAATTTAATCTAGTCATATTTACTGCTTACCATTGCCCCTTTCATTTCATTGAAGACCACCCCTTTGAAGATAATGGGAGAGTCTGGGTCTTGGTTGTTTTCATTCTCTAGTCTCCAGCCTTCTTGTCTTAAAGAACAATTTTAAGATACACCGCTTTTATCGGGATACATTTCAACGAAAACTTCCTTTGTGACAATTTCACAGCATACTGCTGAAGGAACGCATTTGCGCCCTCAGATGGAAACCGAGCATTTTGCTGTGGGTCAATTGTGTCTCTGAGCCAAACTTACAGTTACCTGAAGTCTAGTTCCCTGAGTCTTGGAAAGAAGGCCGCATCTAGATAGACCGACAGCAGGTTACTAAAGTCTTTGGGGTTCTGACTTGAGAATGGGTACATGGTGTAGTCACTGGCTGTTGAGGACGGAGAAAAGTTTTACGTTCAGAAAGTCTTGTCAAAAGTAACTTTCTCTGTCCATTTTCAAGGCAAATACTGGCACACAACTTAAGGATTATAATCGTAATTATCATCATCAGTCTTGTAGTAGTCTTGGACAAGGCCTGGGCCCAATTTCATGGCGTTGCTTAGCACGGGATTTGACGCTAACAGAGGCTCCATGTACTATGGAGACCGTAAGCACAGCAAAAGGCATGCTTACCTTGGAGGAAAAAATTTGCTCAAACTTAGTGACATAACAATAGAAATCTCTATGCTGCGCAACCGTTAGCACAACCATGCCAAGCATCGCCATGGAAAAGTGCTCAAGGTTGGCAAATTTTTTTGCCAAAGTAAGCACGACTTTTCTGCTGTTAAGCAGCTCTGTGAAATTGGGCCCAGGTTTAAATCATGTTCTTCCAGTGTGCATACGTATGCCTGGGCAGTACAAAAAAGCTCTCCTTCAAATCCACCACTCTTGAGGAACCCACAGACACATGCACATCCTTTGTAACCCAATTTCTACTCACTTAATTCACTTCTGCATGTGATGGACAGCCCCATTCTACCTTACTCAATCCTACAAATTCTTCCAAACCGCCCAGTGAAACTTTGAAAGGAATTGGGGTTAACAGCACTGCAGAGACCCAAGGGCTTTACTCCGCAGGACAATGTGTTATCTTACCAGTCCATGCATTCATGAATGTCGCCAGGGATCGGTTCAACATCTTGAAGAAGGGATCTCGGCAGGGGTAGCGCTGAGATCCGCACAGCGTGGTGTGCTCCAGGATATGAGGAACCCCTGTGCTGTCCATCGGTGTGGTCCGGAATCCCACACTGTGGAGGAAAATGAAGTCCCATTTAATTCTGGTTTTAAGCCCCTCTGCGCTGCTAGATGCACAGATCGGCAGAGATTTTCCCAGGACTTGTAAACACAATCTGCCAGTTTACTGCATATTTGCCAGCTTCTAGCGAGTGACAGCACACATACATGAATACACAGGTTTACTTTCCACACACCCCCCAGTTTGGAAAGTTCTTTGTTTTCAGGCAGTTAAGAAAACTGGGTGAAAATTCTCCTCTTTCTTGAACTGTGAACATGATCTTTGGCTGGATTTCGTAGTATGGTTTCCTTGACTGCTGCTCTTCCTTTTACATCAAATAATCTTGCAGATCAATCACATTACTTTGACCTAAAATGGTTATTTAATAGGGAATGGGTCATTATTACCCATATCATGACTAACGTGGCAGTTTCTCTTCGCATTTATAAAAATCGTCTTTTTGGAGTTTAGTTCCATGGGGCGAATGCTCAGAGTAAAAAAAAAATGTGTCCTTGAGGGCGGCAAACAAATCTAGCAATTTGATAATGTCATAATACGGCTCTCGTTCACTAGTTTCTTGACATTGCGGCCATAATATGGGGCTTTATAGCACAAGAACAGAGAAAAGACGGGCAATGACCAGGACCATCTGCCTGAAATTCATCAGGCCCTTACTCCGGTTCAAATTGGGACTTTAAACTTTATCATACGATCCGGTGTGGAACAACATCGAATCAATGGAAAAGCAATTCCAAGTTGCTCTCACTGTTCGACCCCTTTTAATTCACAGTTAAGCGCAAGCAAGCGCGGCGCTCACGCACGCAGGCGTGTTAACCCTGAAATAATGAAACAGTCATATACACGAAATTGCAGAGCCGTAGTGTGACGTCATCAAAACAGGCTTCTGTTGGATGCTCCTGACGACTTTTATTTTCAGTTTGCCTGATATAAAGGAGGACTTTAACTCATGCTTCTGGCATCAGTAACAATCTTTATATAGTTTTTACATAATGGATTGTTTCAAATATAATTAAATTTTCATAAAAAGTGAAATTGTGAATTACCAAGATAACTTATTTTTAACCCCAAATGCCTCTAAACCTCTTTTTCAGGGAAGGGGAAACATCCTGTGGACACAGGTAAGTCCACACAACGCCTTCCCTTCCTGCTTCATGTTGACATTGTTTGTTCACGAGTCCACATGAGGTATAGCACACATAACCTCACACTTAGATGGTCCTCATTGATTTCGTACACACACACACAGCCACTGTCTGGCAGGTTTGTGGAGGCCGACTTTGTTTTGTGAAAGGAAGTATCACGGTAGAATGGTTCTCAAAGACCGGAGTGATCATCTACCTGAAGACGTTATTGCTGTCTTCCCTGGCCACGTGCAGGTACTTGGCCCCGGTGACATCATGCATCAATGTGACTGCCGTTAGGTATAGCTCTGGCACTGGTATAACCTACAATAGGGAAGAGGAAATTTGGTCGGGGGGGGGGGTAATGCAAGTAAAAAAAAACATTCAGGGATTTAAAAAATCTTTAAAAAGTCATTCCATGAGAAGTAGCTGGATAAAGCTATCAAATTGGGGTTGTGTTTCTTTCGTGCCCCACTTGTATCTGACAAAGGACTCTGTCAGAAGTTTGGACTATGTTCGTTAATTTGTAAGAGTGATTATGGAAATTACTTGTCAAACAAGTAAAAATATCAAGTTTCAAATCAATTCCAATGTACAGTATTTCAATGTCAACTTACATACGGTAGATCAGCGTGACAGGGGGTTCAACCCCGAGTTTACAGAGTAACCCATTTGCATAAAATTTGCAACAGTTTCAACACATTAGAAATTGTTCATAGTTAATTAATTGTGGTTCTTTCCTCGCCTTCCACCTCTGAGGCCCGGGTTTGAATCCCGGCCCTGTCCACATGTGGATTGGGTTTTCAATCCTTACCTGATTCCGTGGGTTTTACCCAGAATATTCCTCTGGGGTTTTCCTCTCACCTCTAAAACTGTAACTGCTTCTCATTGTCTCCTCTCTACAGGTTTCTTCAGGCTTGCGAGCTACAGTGCCTAGGGCACTTTGGAGGAATCCTTGGTGTCATTACCAGAAATATATAATATAATAATGATGTGCCTAGGAAAAAAACCATGTTGCCTATCTACCTTCTGTACAGACGCCGACAGCGCGTTCAAACTGGCCTTGCTCTACGCCATTGTATGATCGTTGTCACTGTTGTGTACAGTAAATAGATGCCTATTATTCCATCAAAAACACTGTTACCTTCAACTGTGCGCGTATTCAAGTTCACCTGCAGGATTTAGTACAGCACCTTTCTAACGGTGAAGCCATGCATCTTTTGACCTGGCTGATAGGCCTCTGCCGTCTCCAATGCTGATGCGGCGCAATACAGCCGGTGTGACTTACATCGTGCAAATGTCTGCCATCTGTTGAAATCCGATGGAAAAATGGACAGATTTCTGGGCAAGACAAGGTTTTAAGGCCCAGTAAGCATGGTCAGGTGGTTTTTTTTTTTTTTTACAAAATTAAGGGAGAATAATGGGCTTTACAAACAACTGTCGGTGCTTCCACAGTTTGGAAAGATTAAAAAAGGAGTTCCATACACAGACAACACTAGTTTTCCCGTAAAATATTATAACAACCATCAAAAAGTGATAACATGTTCAAAAAAGAGAAAATTAGTGGAGAAAATCCTGAAGCATTACTTAGAAAACACTTGGGTTTCTTCAGACAAGTGTCATACAGGTTCATGCACAGAGGCATTATACATCATCAAGTGTTCGTGTATCATTTCATCATGGTCATGGAACTCTCTCCCCACTTCAAAGACACACCAATGAAAGAGGCATGCCGGATGAGAGAAATGACTGTTTCTCACAGTCAGTGGTTTTGATTTTAGTAGCCTTAACGTTCATGATTGTAAGTTTAGGCACGCACGTCAGGTGTAAAAAGTGTTACCGCGCGCGATCATAATGGGCCTACCTTGTGTTGCTGATACATGTAAATTGGGAAAACCTACAAACCCGCTGCATACTGTCTCAAAAATGTACTCCTTATTCATAAAAATGAAAATACTAAGCTTAATAATTATGTGAAACTATCCGTCACGCCCGTTCACACTTCCTCGTAAGCAAAATTCTAGGTTAAACCATGGTTAAACAACAGGCATAACACTTATTAACAGGAGAAACACTTGACGGACAGCCTCAGCAGGTTCTGAGCAGAGGTCACGATAACCCATTTGACCCCCAACAAAAGCACGTGTTCACGGTTGATCGATCGCTGGCGCTGAGAGCGCCCTCACACGTATTCTTGATTAATGAAGATCGCAATGTGTAGGGAACGTGTCAATGACAGAACTGAATTGCACATTTTCATATATATGAGCATGAATTCAGTACACGCTCGGATAAACCCTGCACACCTCAACAAGTAAAAGGATAAGCATGATTATCATAACCCGCAGATATATTACCTTTGAAACAAATTCTGTTTGAATCGGAATGTCTGGTCCTTTTCGGCAAACTGAGAAATTTATTTCTAATTATACTCAGACTCCCTCAGACAAATCTAAAACAGGGACACATTATTTGATGGAAGGCCACAGCCTGGAACTTTATTTTATTTTCCATTGTGCCGGAATACCGGTGTACAATGGGCAAACCTGTTACTGACTCAAAAGGATACACCAGATCCCAACTCTTTCAATAAACATAAGGGATACACCTGAACCCGACTTTTTCAATAAACATAAAGAATACACCTGATCCCAACTTTTTCAATAAACATAAAGAATACACCTGATCCCAACTTTTTCAATTAACATAAGGGGATACACCTGATCCCCACTCATTTCCAACATAAGCAATACACTCGGTGCCACTACTTTCCAATTAACATGAAGGATACACACTTGCCCCCGACTGGCTCCATCAACATGAGGGATAAATCTGATCCCAATCATTCAAACAACATAAAGGATGCGCCTTATCCAAACTCCAATGTACTAGTCATTCTGTTTTAATGTCCTTTTCTTACTTACGATGAATCAAAGGCTATTACCCTTCCATAACCAAAGGGTTACTGGATATAAATCCAACTAGCAATTCAATTGTACATTAACTACATGATGTATGTTACATAGCAACAAAATGTTTGCACTAAGCACGAATCCTCCTTAACTCAAGCAAGTTAATCATTCTGATAGTTGGAACATAAAGTCAGAACTT